CACGTGCAATTATTATGACTTCATTGCCGTCCCGTTCCCCAGGATCGGCTTTGGCTCACGTTGTCGAATCCAGAACTTTTCCAGATTGATATCCCGTCGTATCTACTGGAGCCCGTACCTCAACGCAGTTCTTAAATCATTTATACGCGCCTTGCGACAGCCTCGAATAGACTGCATTCTTCTTAGCTCTAGTAATACTCTTGTCGACCCATTAATTCGCTCATTATATGGATATCTGTAAACACTTGGCAATTGTTCTTACGGAGAGATTCTGCCATCTGATCCATGGATCTGACCCTTTCAGTTTTTTTGTTGATAGGATAATGCTGATTTTTTTCATCTTTGCTCGATACAATAAGTTCGTCACCGTATGGTTTCTCTTCAAACGTGTAGTGGAATCCCCACTACACGTTTTCTTACATATACATGTTCATCGTAGGAATGCCGCGCTCAAATGACTTGTAGCTACGATCTTTTATCGATTGGCATAAATGTAATTGCTCGACGCCCCATATATGATTGGATCTCGAAATGACAGTTTGCCTTTTTCTCTGACTCTTCAAGGTGATAAGCGTTACCTTATATCGACTGATAGTAACACACCGTGAGTGTGCATAAGGATAAATTTTTCCTAGAGATCTGCAAAACTAATTGACATTGCTGATTAGTAAGATGCTCCGCCCTATTTTCTTCATTCGATTTTTATTGCGCCTTGCTATTGTGCTTGCTTTGTATGTCGTCGGGCCCACGTTGCATGATCTTGAATGCTACCAAAAGATTGTCACGAACGAACTTATGTGGTTGCACACTCAGAGTAAAGTATTCATATGCCTATCACCCTGTCTTCTGGAATCGATTGCGTCTCTACAATCTTTTGTATCCCAAAGAGCAGATACGCTCTCTATCCAAGCAACAGAGTACCATCGATTCTAAACTAACATCGTAATATCAATTCTAAATCTCCCTTTTTCTGTCTACTTAGTGTAAGATAGGTAGACGAGCTAGGCTGATCCTAAGTCAAGCTGAATGCTTGCTGCGGTACCACAATCTCCGATACGTATTTCCGTGTCCATCTCAAAACGCTGGATCGACACAGCAATTTTGGTGCATCTGGGGTGAAGCGGGCTCTCAAATCTGTGCGATGAGACCCCAATCTACTCACTCTGCCGGACTTCCGACTAATAGAGGAGGTACTCCGACGTCTTGTATGGACCTCGACTCACCTCGTGTACCCGTCGACTAGCGATTTGCCCTCTTCATTAGATATGTTTGATGTATATATTGTTAGCAAGTGATGTTGCGGCGATGCGTGTAAGGTGACTATTTTTAAGGTAGGAGTTGTTGCAGTTCCATTTTGTTTGAGATTAGTTGCTCTGGCATGACATTGAATTCGCTCAGTCGTTTTGTGGGTTAATTTTCACGCTGGTTACTATGGGTTCGAGCCCTGGCGTGGATGAGTGAGTAAATGATACGAAACACCACGATTTTGGATAAGACATAGCGGTGTTTTACGGAAGATGTCGTACAAGAAGTAATTACTTAAGGGTAGGACTACAACGCCAAGTAGGAGAAATGACAGGTAGCATCGGTGGCTGAGAGCCATTGGCTTCTGACAGCCATTGATTTAGAATTGCAAAGACGTATCGGATACAATTCACTTTTCAACTAGCCATTCCGGTAAAATCCATTTCCATTTAAGCAAAAACGCTCGAAACAACCTTCGCTCGTAAAAGATCTTAGTCTTGGTAGAGCCATACTTGGTCTTCTCCGAGTGGATATACTTCACTTGGTGTGCCAATAGGTGACCACTCGATCGACTCCTCCGATAGTGGACTTATAACCGAATTATCCAGGAACCTTGTCGATCCTGGACTTTTCCTTGATTTATCAGGGTTATGAAACACCTGGTCTTTGCTCGACTCCCTGACGGCGGAGTCGGGAGATTGCTTCCAAAAGCGGATCTTGGGCAGTGTGCTACTCGACGAACCCACAGGCCAAATACTTCCTGGGGCTCTGCTTGCACTTGTTCTTGCTACAAACTATCTTCAACGAGGGGGGCAAAGTGTATTCCTCACCCCGAACAGGCGTGCAGACTTACTAAATTCCTTTAGAACGATGTAGTCGTTGCAAGAAGATCCCAAATTGAGAAGTGTTCACCACCGTCCTATTCTTTAACTCCTTTACTTTGTCTTCGCTTTATGTCCTAATCCTGATTCGACTGGTCAAGAGTAGCTTGACCCAAAGGGACTCGAAATCCGCCTCGAAGTACCCGAGGTTCAACTCAAAAGACTGGGGATCCACCTCGAAGGACCTGATGTCTATCTTGAGGGGCCGAGGTCTACCTTGAGGGGCCGAGGTCTACCTTGATGGACCCGAGGTCTACCTGGGTCTACGTTGATCAGCTCGAGGTCCACCTTGAGGGTACGGGGCCCACCATAAGAGATCGTGATCCATTCCGTCAGTACCATGTAACTGGTACATGTGCCACAATCCTCCCGTTACTTGGTCCGGTCAATTCTTCTCCTCTACCAGTACTTTCACCCATGGGTATTCTCTTTCTATCCGGGATATTTTCCTGGCGTACGGACCCTTATATATCACATCGTCGGCCTCCTGGTCCACCATTTTCGAAATCGTGCTTCACTACAATTCCGTTAATTGCGTTGGCCGTGATGCAACTCAAGTGTATTGGATGTGCTGCGAGTAAGCAAGAATATCGATTTTACCATGTCTAGGAATTCAAAAAACCGACCAAGCCCTAAACTCGGGTCGTGGCAGCTCAAACATTGTCCAAGACGGGTCTTGATACCTTTTTATGAATCAGAAGCATATGGTTCGTGGATCTTGATCCCTAAGACCCTAGTCTTGACCCGCCCCGGTACGGTTGATCTCTGTTTGGATCCTCGACCATGACACTAATGGCGGTATTTCCAGAGGAAGAACGCATTCTCTCAACCGCATTCTATTCGATATCACTTATAGAGACTAGCTTTGACGCGTGGCGTGGGGGATTTCCTTGTCATTTTGCGTGCTCATGGTAAATGATGTTTTGCTGTCTTCGGACGGACTACGAAATACTACCAGGTGTAATGGAGCACACTCGTACACAGATGACTAGAAAGGCCCTTGCATCGTCATCAATGCGAGGGTGCGCGCTTCCAGAATCCCAAGTAAACAGTTCGTGCAGAGGAAGGGTAACAATTCGAGCAAGAATAGCTCAGAATGAGGGAAAGTGGAGCTGTTCATATACCATATTGAAGTATCATGGTATCGCTACCCTTAGTTCTATCTTGATTAAATCATATTGTAATCCCTTTTTCAAGCATTTTATCACTACCCGTTGTGCGCGTTAAGCAGTGATTGTGGTTTAGTTGGTCGATATAATGGCCTATATCAATTAATGTGCGGAGCGGTGCCGAACGTCACACTCGAAGGTAACATTCCTTCAATAATTTACCGATAAAAGTCAATATCGAGGAAGATTGTCGAATAGGATAATATTCCTATTGACGCTATTTTGGTGCCACAATCACGTTACGGGCTCACCCCGTTACAGTGAGGCGGTCAGGAATGACTAGTCGTCAGCGACTGAAGGTCCTGATCGTGCGAAGTTGGTTTAAAGAGACCCTGAACGGTGTGTGCTTCGAAAGAAAAACCCGAAAATTGGCATTTATGTGAAGAAACGTATGAAGGAAAGTATTACGGATAGTCTTCAGGTGTCCTTGGAAAAGATGAAGTAGGCGTCGGTGTCCCAGCGTACATTCGAATGGGACCTGCTATAAGCTGATTACATTCAATCACAGACATCAGTCAGTACGGCGGTCCACTTATGGTATTGTAGCAATGTTGGGCTAGGCTCGAATAGCAACGTAGGCGGCCGTCTCTTTTGTGTTCGTTGTGCACTGCGCCGAACAGGTAAACCGCCTATGATTGTCAATGTATACGAATACTTTGTATGATGGGGGTACAATCATGGATATGCGTGTTACGGTACGCATACACTGATGAACGTGGAAGCTCCCTCTCCATAATCCCTTGTCCGTTGTCAAGTCAATGTGTAAGCCTCCTCTCCGGAACCGCTCGTCCGTTGTCAAGCCGAAGGAAACATGCAAGTGACGGTCTCGTTCACGTAAAACAAGACGGAACTGTGAAATCGGTTGATCCATTACGTAAAAAGATGTGACTGTTACAACCAGATGTCAGTGCAATCATACTTACCAGCTCTCCGCTCACCACTCAATACGTGTCGCTGCCTGGTCGATTGAACATGCTAACTGAAATGTTGGCCGGCATCAACTACCAGAGGGCATCGCCCAAATAACCCTTCGAGCTCGAATCGCACCTATTTTTCGTTAGGTTCGGTAGGCCAGTGTAATGGACTTACCACGTACAGTGTTTGTATCAATTTCCCAGATGGCGTGTCCAGAAGCCTTTGCTTCGGCCGCTGAACCCGCACAGGCATATCCTTCTTCTCGTGGAGACAATCAAGCCGGTACGACAACAGGTGGAGGAGAGAGAGAGCTGTGAGTAGGTGATAAAGTGGCTCTTGCGCAAAAGATGACAGAAGTAAAAGTAAATCGTATTCAAAGGCGTCTGTCAACACTACAACATGCCGTCCACAGAAACTGCCACTTGACCAGATTAGGTTGCACATGGCGTACATCCAGTCCACTCATCATCACATGTTGCTATCTGGTCGCGTCTCTATCTCCTTGTCCCATATGTCGCGACAACTCGATGACCCGACATGACGACCGTATCCCCCCCTCCCATCTGTCAAGTAATCACTTCTCAGCCAATCGAGTATGGCTGTAACGTACGTGTAACAGGTCTTGCACTTAAACCTCAACACCTTCACGAACTGTAAGAAGCAATATCTGCTAACAAGAGCTACTGAACACGCAAGCGATGCGACAACAACAAGTACAGCAACTTTAACTACACCAACAACAAGTACGACAGTGACATGTGCAGGTCTGAGCAATGTCGACGAGACAGCAATGTCGGACACGTTGCGACATCCGGCGGTCAATATGTCGCAGGGTCGTACAATCGTGTACGAATCTAGCGCGATCTTGGCGTGCCTGGAGAAGGCGTACGACGAGGCACCTTGTATGCCACGGTCCCCAGCTCTGTACGCCGTGGCGCAGTCCCGTCTGCATGAATCGAACGAGATCTTGTCCGTCGTGGGCGATTTGGTCGTCTACTTGCGTCGATTCCCGCACGAGAAGCGGAATGTCGCAGTTGTGAATGCCAAGTGGGCGTCGGTCAAGTGCGAGTTGCGACTGTGGGAGACGTATTTGGATGGCCACCAGTATCTCGTGGACCCCAATGTGCCGTATCTGTGCGACTTTACGCTCTTTACAAACATTGCGTACGCAGTACGGTGTGACTTGCAACTCGGTGGATTGTACCTGTGTTAAGTAAAACACTACCGCATCCAGTAAGGCTCTACGTGCACTCGTCAAGTCATTCGGACGACGCTAGTCAAAGCAATGATACGTCTTCGTCCACGTACACCAACCGCCTTTATCCGTGTACCGTATTCGTGTCTACGGACTGAAGCATCTTAGTGCAGTAGTTCTGGGCGTATGCGTTCTTGGGACTCGCGCACAAAGCTTCCAGATCGCCCTTGGTCTCTACGCTTGCTGTCGCTACGGACAAGTCCCCGATGGCCGTGTCGAGTTTCACAGCGGCTTCGATCGAGCTGTTTTGCAGTCGACGGGCACTAGAGGTAGTCGGCAGAGATGCCAACAGTGCAGCGTGGCCCTCGTACAGTTCCAACACCTGTGTGTGGAGCGTGATGCCAGTAATACCAAGATGGTCAAGTCGATTCAGTTGCGGCAACAGGTTCCACGTGCCCAGTTGAGATGTACCGGTGAACGTTGCGACACTCCCGACACCGTCGGAAGCCATCGAAATCGAATTCACAACGCCATCATTCGGTTGCCAGTCCGTGGGTAGCTTCATGTTGTCAGGTGCATACCGCCCGCCGAGAAAGACTGCCAGGGGTTTGAGAACCAACAGCATGGTCAGGGGATGGGGCAGCGAGATCTTGCGAAAGCGCACGTCTCGCGTATCAAACGTGTCCACGGTGGTGTAGCTGTAGTAGTACACGTCACTCAGCGTCTTCACCCACGTCGCTTCTTCTTTCGCACCGCGAGTGGACAAACTCCATAGACACACGTCTTGAAAGCCCGGATCAAAGATACTGCTGGAAAAGACGCGGCCGAGGTACGCTTGCAGCGTCTCACCTGACCGCTTACTTGAAATCCCCCATTGATCCAATTTGACGTCGTAGAACGTCTCGGCATTGGTTCCAAGGATCCCGACAAGGTTCAGCACACCTGCAAGCAGGTCTTTGACTTGGTCGCCAATGACAGAGAAGCCGTCGGCGAGGGTCGTGCCCTGGTTTGGCGCTGACATGGTCGTTATCGAGTGCACCCAGCTCTTCCCACCAGCGAACAACGGATGCGACGACGGATCTTCCTCGCCAGGTGCACCGGTGGTGCCATGCGCGAGCATCTGAGCCAACATTCGTATGGTCTGGCCGCCCATACTGTGTCCGATGAGGTGGACCTTGTTGATCGAGCCATCCGAGTTGACTGTGCCCCACTTTGTGTAGAGGCCCGTGTAGTTGCGTCCAAAGCGAAGGTGCTTGTGCGTGGCCGAGTGTTGCTTGCCATAGTCGACCTGTCCGCCTTTGATAATAGCGTACAGCTCACAAGCCCGATCCCAGTTGCTTGAAAAGGGACCAACTGCAGCAGTATAGACCGTATACCCTCGAGCCGTGAGCTCGTTCTGGAAATCCCCTTGAATGCCACCCCAGTACCGGAAACCCGAAAACTCGTCACGACCCCAGCCGGAGAACCCATTGACGAGCACGATCGGGTACGAATTCGTCGCTCGTGTATTGACGAGCGACAGTGCTGCGATGAGGAGCACGAAGACGGCATCGCGGAACGGCACAAACATTGTTGCACTTGTATGTGCGCAACTGCAAAGACAAAGGCAAGTCGTACGAGGTCGAGTGTCGAGTGAGAAGCGTATTGGGAAATGAACGCGTGATAGCACGTCGTGTTCGGCTTGACGGACAGAGAGTGTGATGGATTGCGATGCTGGGGATCAAGCGACTCGCGCCGGTCGCTGAGAAAAGTTGCGGCGTAAAGACGTAGCTGTATCGTGCATGGCCTGGTGGCAGTGCTACGGGAATACCCGCGAAACAGTGAATGAAGATGACGCCACGTGATGCAAATCGTCGTCGACTGCATTTCGCAGCGCACAGGACAGTGCTATCGCTCAACTCCCCTTCCCTCCATGTAGAGATGGCACGAGGTCTTGCAGCTGCACCATTCGCTCACGGTGCGAGGTCCATAATGTCCCGTCGAGACGATCCCATTCCGCTCTATCAGACTCGTTCCCAATTCAACCGTCTAGACAGCCTCGTGCTTACAACCCCTTTCCAGACGCGGTATACAACTCCTGTCTAACGCAGTATGCAGCTACCCATTCCCATCCACAAGCGTGATCTCGTACCCCTCAACATTCTACACAGCCCTCACCAACATCCTACAAAGCCCTGTTGTTTCCTGCGGCTTTTGACGGTGATCCCGTCCGTGACACCTGAGACGGACGTAATCCGCTACGACGAAAGCATTAGTCAAAAGATTAGCGCTGTCGACTTCCCTGCGAGAGTGAGAGAGAGAGAGATAGACGCTGAAACAACACACGACGAATCTTTGAGACGTGCGTTCCTACAAAGCTGTTCTGCATTTTGTACGCCTTCGATCGCGTAGAGTTTACGACCTTTCGTCGACAAATGTACGTGTCAGTGCTCCGTCATCCTCAACTCGCGTTCCTTGAACTTGTAGTCCGAGCGGGTCAGAGACTCGACGGCGTTGTTGTCGGGAGGTCGCCCGTGGTGTGCGTACACACAACAGCCGACCGAAAAACCCATCCACCCACCCACCCACCCACCGAGAGGCCGCCAGCCGCAGCTGTCCGTCCGTCCGTCCGTCTGTCTGTCTGTCCGTCCCCCACGCAATGGCGTCGGCTTCGCAAGCAAACAACTTGGTCTCCAGTGAACATGAGATGCTGCAGTCGGCTCCGATGCCGCACGAGCGCGTGGTCTATTGGGGATCCGGCAGCCCGCAAGGTGCGATACCACTGCTCCATTCGTACTGATCTTTTGTAGGGCATCGACGAAAGGCTCTGTGCTTGTCCTGTTCCGGCCGACAGTCCGCTGTGTCACGGTCTGAACAAACGTATCCTATTGTCATGTGTGTGTCTTTCTCTCTCTCTCTCTCTCTCTCTTGCAGCTTGGCGCATTTTGATTGCCCTCGAAGAAAAGCGACTGCCCTACCGTAGTGTCTGTATCAGCTTCTCGAGTGGTGTGCTCAAGACGCCGTTCTTTCGCGCGCTGAATCCGCGCATGCGGATCCCGGTCCTCGTCGAGCCAGTTGAGCCGACACGACAACAGGCCGAGGAGGAGCGAACAGCTGGACAAACAATCGATGCAACTGCAACAAGGTCAACAACAACAGTGACACGTGAAGGTCTGAGCAATGTCGACGAGGCAGCAATGTCGGACACGTTGCGACATCCGGCGGTCGGCATGTCGCAGGGTCGTACAATCGTGTACGAATCTGGCGCGATCTTGGCGTACCTGGAGAAGGCGTACTACGAGGCACCTTGTATGCCACGGTCCCCAGCTCTGTACGCCGTGGCGCAGTCCCGTTTGCATGAATCGAACGAGATCTTGTCCGTCGTGGGCGATTTGGTCGTCTACTTGCGTCGATTCCCGCACGAGAAGCGGAATGTCGCAGTTGTGAATGCCAAGTGGGCGTCGGTCGAGTGCGAGTTGCGACTGTGGGAGACGTATCTGGATGGCCACCAGTATCTCGTGGACCCCAACGTGCCGTATCTGTGCGACTTTACGCTCTTTACAAACATTGCGTACGCAGTACGGTGTGGCCTGCAGCTCGATGGGCTGTACCCGCGTCTCGCAAGTTTCTACGTGCGATTGTGTGCGCGAGCGTCAATTGAGACGACGTGGCCACCACATTGGCGATCAACGTTCGGGTCGAAAGTGCTCACGAAGACATGTTGCACCAGTGGCGGTGAAGATGTCCATTCACCCGCATCGCCGACGTCGGCGCAGGCTTCGCAGCAGTCGTCGTAAGCGCCGAATCGACTGCTGGCAAAAGTTTTGCCGTCGCGTTCAACGAGCCTGTGCGTGACGACGAAATAGAATGTGAACGTACAGAACTGTATGGGCGCGCAAGACCGTCCGTAGCGTCCATCTCGAACAAGCCGTCCACGTCGCTCGTCCTCGTGTATTTCATCCTCACGGTCTACCAATCGCCTCGTTATTGTTCAGGCAGTCCAAGTTTGCGCAGGAAAAAGTGTCTGCAAACAACGCAGTGTCGGTAGTTGTTCTCCTTTTCGTACTCGTAACGTGGCACTTGACTGTTGCATCGCACGAAAGGAGTTAACATGTGCTTTTCGATGCACGCGCCATCTTTCCCACGTCGTATCGAGATCTCATCCTTTCGTACTACAGTACTGTTATCAATTCTTGATAGGTCCACAAATGCGCTCTCTCTCTCTCGCACGTATGACTGTTGAAACCAACGGCACACCTTACTGTATCGAACAGCAATCAATCAATCGATCACTACCAAGGAATGAGATGGCCCGCCACCGAATGCAGAATCGGCCACCTCACGCTCTCCTTTGCGCAACAGTACCGTACAAACTGTACACAAAATCGTGCCTCAATCGCATTTCCTTTCTCGCACATGCACTGCCACTCGCAACAACATCGTGTTCTTCATTCGTGTCCACCGTTTGACATCGCTGGACTTGCTGCAGCTCACCAGAAGCTATAGCAAAGTCAAGTAACGCCCTACGAGTCGTCGAGGTGACACCTGAGTCAGTACAAGCAGTGCGGTCTTTACTTTCGATGGAAGTCACAACCGAAGTGCTCTCTCCACAGAACGCGATCGTACGTTCTCGCTTTTTTCCAGCCGCGCTCAACAATCGGTAGTTCCGTGACTTGTAATTGGATTGATGTGGGTAGCTCATCTTTCCCCAGACGAAAGACTCTCTTGTTGTTGAACTTCTTTGTCCCAAGCAGATACTGCGGTTTGCCATCGATCTTGTAAAAAAAAGCTCGCGCATGTTACCGCGACATTATCTCTTGCGCTTTTTAGCCCAAGTGCTTATGTAAAAACGCCGTACATGCTTTTTTCCGCGCTTGTTTCTATTTCCAATCGGCCCCTCGCGCGTGTGTCTTCCGCGAGCAGCAACATAAGCAGCTCGCTTGGTTCCGAATTGCCTTGTCGCAGCGCCTCGTTTATCGCGTCCCACACATCAACTACCGTCGACACTCGACCAGCCTCGCGCTCTCACAATTTATCACGCGATACAAGAGCCAAATAGAAACGAAGCACCCAATGCTGGCTCTACAGGCCGCGCCGGACGCCGAGCGCGCGCTCGTTGCCATGGCGCCCCCTCCGCCGCCCCCTCCGTCCGTCACTACTGACGAACCCCATGCGCCACCCGATGCGTCTGCAGGTCCCGAAGACAGCGATGCGGCAGTACCGCCCGCGCCCGAGGCGACGACGCTGGCCGCGTTGGCACAGGACGTTTCTAAGTGGACGCTGCACTCGGATCACTCGATGCACACGTTTCTAAAGCGGTACTCGACGGATTTGTTCGTACGGACGAAAGCCCTCGAAGACCGCGTGCGGGACATTGCCGCCGACGCCGATGCTGCGCACGTGCGCCTGAAGAACACACTGAACCAGTTCCTGTTGCTGTCGAACAACCAGTTTATGGAGAACCGCGTGTACGACGAAGAGCAGGAGGATTTCTATAGCTTAGAAACGCCAAGTGGCGACAAGCACGAGACGGTCAAGCGGGACAAGGACAAAGACGAGACAGGACCAGCGGCTACGAGTACTGCAGTCTCTGCTACTGCTGCTGCTACTTCGACTGGCCATTCGTCGTTGGACAGGGAGGGAGGAGGAGCAGGAGGAGGCGCGAAGGCGGCTGCAGAGTCCATTGTGACAAAGTACAGGTCGGCTCTAGATATGGGTATGGAAGCTATGAAGCTCTTTGTGATGATGGACGAGGAGGACGACGACGACGACGAAGACGGTGAGAAGGCGAACGAGCACAAGGAGACGTCGTCGCCGTTCGAAACAGTGCTGGACATTTACAACGAACGGCCGCTGCCGTTTATCATCGGAACAAGAGAGTTTCTCGAGGACGAGACGCTCGGCTTGGGTGCTGCACCCGAAGAGTACAGTGACAGCGATGATGGGAGTGACGTGTCGTCCTATAGCAGTTCGGGCTCCGAGTCGGACTCGGAAGCGTCGGCGTCCGATGCAACGTCGACGTCGAAGGGATCGAGACGCTCGATGTCGCATTCGCGGTATCGATCGAGCTCGGAGGAGTCGGAGAGGTCGTCGCTTGCACCTCGCCAACGCTCGAATTCTGGCGAGAGTGATATGAGCGGCTTGTTCGGTCGTCCGCCCGCAGCTGCCAAGCCGCCTCGACGACGCGCGGATTCCGACGAAAGTGACACGAGCGGACTTTTTGGTCGTCCGTCAGCACCTGAGTCTACCCCACCGCAGCCAAGCACTACTGCTCCACGACCGCGACGCGCTTTGTATTCTGATAGCAGCAGTGGCGAAGATGATGACGACTCGGGCTTGTTTGGCGCCAGCACAGCTCCGCCGACATCAGCTCCTCGTTCGCAACCGGTACACCGTGCCCCTCAGAGTGGTCTTTTTGGCGAGGGCGAAAGCGATGACAGCGACAATAGCGATACTAGCGGTCTTTTCGGCGCGAACAAGTCAAGAGCTGCCAGGGACTCACCAGTTGTTGCTGCCAAGCCGCCTCCAGCAGTTGCCCCTAGACCATCTCCTGTGGTTACGCGTGACATCCGCGATAGCGACAGTGATAGCGATGATGACGATGACAACGATGAAGGTCTGTTTGGAGTACCGCAAGCAGTCCAGCTTCCTGCAGCGGCACCAGTTGCTGCGCCACCAACACAAGCTCGACAACCACGGGTGCTCAGTGACTCCAGTGACTCGGAGGAAAGTGACGTATCTGCCCGACCTTCTCAACCAGTACGCCGTGCGCCTCCAAGTGGTCTGTTTGGTGAGGGCGAAAGCGATGACAGCGACGATAGCGATACTAGCGGTCTTTTCGGTGCAAATCAGTCAGCAGCTGCCAGGGCTTCACCAGCTGTTGCCAAATCGCCTCCAATAGTTGCCAAGCCGCCTTCAGCGGCTGCCGCTAGACCATCTCCTGTGGTTGCACGCGATGTCAGTGATAGCGACAGTGACGATGATGATGACGACGAAGGTCTGTTTGGGATGAGCCAACCAGGCAAGCCTCCCGCTGCTGCTGCTGCAGTTGTTGCTTCAGCAACACAGACTCGACAGTCGCGGGCGCTGAGCGACTCGAGCGAGTCCGATGAAAGTGATATGTTTGGAGCACCACCTTCTCAATCTGCGCCAAAATCGATACCGCCGCCAGCTCTGAGTTCGGCACAGAAAGCTGCTGCGCCGGTACCAGTGCTGCCTGCTGCGCCATTGATCAGTCGGCATCATTCTTCGGACGACGATAGTGATGACTGGAGCGACGATGACGGGGGTCTGTTTGGTGCATCGACGCCAGCTCGAATCTCAACACTCACACCTGCGGTCGCTACTTCGGTGCCGCTTAGTAAGCCATTAGTCAATCGTCAGCAGTCCTCGGACGACGATGACAGTGATGACTGGAGCGATGAAGACGGTGGTCTGTTTGGTGTATCAGAGACGAAACCTGCCGTCGCCCAGTCAGTGGGGGCTCCAGCAAAAGCAGGAACGAGCACTTCTGCTCCAGCTCCGAAGCCAATAAGCGCTTCAGTACCTCCTGCCGGGTTGCCGATTTCTAGTGCTGCTGCACGAATGCGTGCCGTCGAGTCGGACTCTGATTCTGACTCCGACTCTGACTGGGATGGTGACGGTGGGCTGTTCGGGCCTCCAAAGAACTAGTGATGGCAGCTTGAAGCAGTGCGGGTAAAGCCAACGCGGTCGTCGAGACGTTGGATGAAAAACCGACTGACCTGCAGTGTTTTAGCAGACTGGACAACATTTGTCGCAATATCAGTCAACAAGCTGGCAAAAAAAACCGCTTTCTCGCATGGCAGCTTCGTCACGCCACGATGGATTGTAGGGGACCATAAACAAGTGCCCCGTTGTATGTACAGTCGTATATCATCGACCTGTAATTTGCCATCATTGACGTTCTTTACGGGCAAAGCCAAGGACACCTTGTTTCGCTGTTTATCGACCTGCTGGTACATCACGAACAATTGTGAACCACCTCGACCAGTCGTCGCTGCGAACTTGCCGCCACGTCGAGAAGCTAAGCACCTCGAATCGGACAGCGAGAGATAAAGTGGGTATCATTGGTGTGATAGTGACCGCCGCAAACAAGTCCCGACCGCTGTTGTCTACCTGGACGAAAAGTGCTTTGACTTTGTCGCTACAAGTGACGGCAGCCGTTTGACGAAGAACAGAAATGACGAATAGTTGATAATGCTAGCGTCTGTGGAGGCCTGACTAGCAGCAGTCAGTGTCGATACAAGGCATTGTGTATGCGTCGCCACTTACCGCAGATAACGTGCGGTTCGTGGCTGAACAGGACATAGTGCAGGCTGTGTGAGTTGAAGGCCGTCGTCATTGTGGGCTGGTGGGTAACTTGCCACTACTTGTGGACATCCGAAGGTCGACGTGGCATCACGTGGCACATTGCCATTAACTGGTTGCACAAGCAAGTGACCATCTACTTGCACACCTTTTCGCCTTTCACTTGGAGCTTGGACATTCACTTCTCGCCGACTCAGAGTGGTGAGGGGACATTGTACGAAAGCATCTGACTTTACCATGCGCAGCTGTCCTGTGCAGATCGACGCACATTCGTGGACGGCGTTGTGAAGTAAGTTAAATATTCGCTCATTCATCCGCGGCCAAGGCGTTACAGCAGCGCTCGCCGCACAGCAATACTTGTCGTTATAGTCTCAAGCGAGCGGTTGCTAACTTCAAGTCGGCATTCGAACATGACACTTTCAGCGCGACGTTGCAGCATAGCTTGGAGCTTTTGATCCCGAGGGAGCCCGTATCAATCTGACGGCAAGCAGAGAAGGAACGTGTGACGGATTGAACGTACGTCCTTCAGCACGATCTGGTGTGTATGCTGATCACCCCCTGAGGTGGGATCCCCGTCGTCTTGGAAGAAGATTGTGCCGTGATGGATCTCGCAGCAAACAGGGCCAAGTCAGCCCTGTGAAGCTTGGCACATTCTACCACTTCTCCGCACTTCCCGTGTCTACGATCAAGTACCTCGTCGGGTCATTCATGCATTGAGTGCACCCTCGCTTCGCGCAGCGCATAGGCTTTTGATATTGGAATCGACGCAACGCACATATATGGGTTCGTCTGGCCGTTCGTACCACAACTTGACATTCCTTCAGTCGCCCGCTGCAAAAGCATCAAGTAGATCAGCGATCGCTAGACGTGGCACATCAGCCGATCAATCGATTGACAATCTACGTAGCACGTTCATCATTTGTCTGGCTGTTGTTATCGGTACTGACTCATGACTGTTTTCACAATTCATTGAAGTTAGTAGCTGTGTGTGAAGAAGCGATCGCTATGTGCGAAACGTTAGTGTTGAAACGCTTTCTAGCTGTCGATTGCTCAGTCCATGCAATGACCTCTGATTCGATTGACGAACTTCTGCGTGTTATATGTGTCAAGCTGTTGCTGCAGCACCTGTACGCATCGTTCGCGTCGCGAGAAGCTGAGCTTTTGACGGACTTACACCGCAGTCGAGCAAAGCCACGATCGCACGCAACTGCAGTCGACCAAATCGTCAGATGCACGTGCTTTGCTGATATTCCAACTACAGTACAAGTCCGTCAAAGGCACGTCCTGCAGCGGTGAAGGTCATACTGTATTGTTGCTCATGCTAATTCCACGCCAGCTTAGAGCGTGTGAAAAGTCAATGCTTCCTTCGAGACCTCGAGTCACGAGGTCTGTCTAGATAACAATGCACCTCTGTCGCGCGCCGTGTGTTGTGTGCCGAGAGAATAACACCATTTTGTGGTAGTTGTTGGCTTACGTTGGTATGTGGCTAAGGTTGTGAGATAAACATAATTGCGGGTACAAAATCGTAAATGGGGTTCACGTTCCAAGTGGTTCCTTGGAACGTAAACCCCATTTACGATTCGAGATACTTCCAGCCGTGCTTCAGCTGTGTGTCATGGTGACGAAGAGAGAGTGACATACGTGTAGATAGGTTCGACTGTGCACGACATATTGACACAGTATCTGCTCATGCTTAGTATCTTGCATGGAAAAGCAACGATGGCGAATACCACCGAAGACGTTTGCTTGATGCTGTCAAATGGGCATCATGTAAACAAGTTGTCAGGTCTACGTTGAACCATTTGCCATTACGCAGTGCTATCGACTGCACGTTGCTTGGATGAAGAAAATGGATAGTAAAGTCTCTACTGGCTTAGCGCATTTCATGCGTTTACTTTTCTCGATGCAGTAAGTCCATCTTCTACACGCCAAAGTTGAAGCGAGAGCATCCTTGCTTGAGCTGTGAGCAACTCCGATTTCGCCTACGAGACGCATTCCATTCACTCGCCGTCTCTATCGTGCTTTCTATGACTTTCTCCAGCAGCGGCAGTGCGTTCCACTCACTCGAAACAGCTCCATGAGAACGGGGTGTCTCGCTCTTGACATCACAGAGGTCCATAATCCCGCTAGACTTTCGCTTTTCCTGTCGCCCCGGTGACGGATAGGGTGCCGAGTTTATCCGGGCCTGATCCACCCGCTTGGATCGCTTGTTCAAGCGTTTCCAGTTCCAGCGGACCTGGTGGATGTTGACGGGATCATTTGCCCACCCTTTGACGAATGCAGTAACCTGTTTTCCGATGGACTGTCGATTTCGACGAACCGTCTTGGCAAGGAGTCTTCCTCATCTGCATTGAACTTGATAGCAGCATTCTCCAAGCTTCCGGGCCGGCGCGTGTGCATCGTCCCGCCAACAGAAGCGTTAACTTTCATTGGAATCGTTCGTTCGACTGCAGCCGATTCGAAATTAGTTGCATAGGTGAAGCCATCACGTGTTGCGTGAAGGCTATCCTCACCCACCACGACTTTCCTGGGGGATACATTCGTGATCAATCGACGAATCCCGAAGTGCTAATCGGTGCATTGAGGGCCCGTCGCAGGTACGAATGAAAGTGTCATCTTATCCCCACTGATGACAGTGTCGGAAGGTGCCTCGTAGCTGCTCATATGCTATGGCCGTGTTCATAGGTCTTCGGCACTCACAGTGGAATGCTGTTGATATGTGAAGTGGAGTTAGGTGTCTGTGCTACTTGTTGCACTTCGTTCGTCGCAGGAGTGTGATGCCACAACTGCTTTGCGAACAACACCTCTCCTGTCCACCTTCAACAACAACAACAACAACAACAACAACAACAACAACAACGGGAGGTGTACTGTAAACTCTATCCTACAACCGTAATCATGACGGCCACAACCCGCATACACTCACGTTATCGTTTCCATGTTGCACATACTATTCCTAATCCGAAACTGCACGCCCATTCTCGGTCGTACAATCAAACACCCATCGATGTCCGACGAAAAAGCCACGACACGACACGATCTCCAGGCGTCTTGGGATATAAATTCTTCTGGGTTTTTTCTCCCCACCCACTCACCCACGCCCTCTCCACATCCAAAACACCCGCAACTCCGTATCCCTATCGCCCCACCAGCCACGGGGGGTTCCGCGACCAGACCCCACCCAACACACACCCATTCACACAAAGTATACACCATGATGCACCCAGCACCCACCAAAAACCCACCCATTCACGCAAAGTATACACCATGAAGCACCCAGCACCCATAGGTGAATGCTGGTCCTATTATAGTCCCATTTGGTCTCCCGACCTCAAATATTCACTAATCGCGCCTTAAGACCCCACTTATGACCCCGCCGAGCCGCCCGCGCGAGGCGCGTCGGCGCTTCGCTGCAGCGCTCGAGCAGCAACTGAGCCACGCGCAGCTGCACGAGGGCGAGCAGTGGTATCTCGTGTCGTGTCTGTGGTGGACGCGCGTGCTGGGAGCGCCTCCACGCGACGACGACGACGACGACGACGACGGAGAGACTGCCCCGTGTGCGCGTACTGAGTGCGATGCGCCCGTGACGAACGCCGTGTTGTTGGAGGTGGACCTGAGCAGTCGGCCGCGCCACGTGGCAGTGCTTCGGCCTATGCTGGTACGGGTCGGGAGGGTGGCGGGTGTATGTAGTCTCGCAGGGAATGCGCGAGGGGATTCGGTGCGGTTGACGGTGGTGGGTTTTATTCATTTTTGCAGGTTGAAAACACCCATTTTCGGCTCGTGAACACACACGTGTGGCAGCAACTGGTCGACCAGTTTGGGTGTGACTGGGCGATTGCCCGACCGGTAATTGCGCGCGGAGCGGCTGCGACGACGTGTGTGGTGGACGTCCATTTGATGGCGTTTGAGGTGCGGGAGATGGGGTGTCTATGTGTGTCTGTGTGTGTGGGGGGGGGGTTGTGTGGGGGTTGTGTGTGTATCGTGACGAGAGAGTTGTGGGACGATTGGGTGGAGGGTAGAAAGATGATAAGGAGAGAGCGAGAGAGAGAGAGAGGAAGGAAGGAGACTCATGTTTGTGATTGTTGTTGCTGTTGTTGTGTGCGTTTGTGTGTGATGTGTGTGTGGTTTTTCATGTTGTGTGGTGTGTTTTCGCTTGTCTGTGCCAAGTAGGTGCTGGTGTGGCATTCAGGGCTAGCAGAACCGGTGGAACTCGTGGATAGCGAGCAGAAAGCTGTGATACTGTTGGTCAGCAAGACGTGCTCGTTGCACAATTTGCAGCTACAGATCTGGCAATCTGCCGAACTCGAATTGAGAAAGCTGTTTCCAAACGTGACGGAGAAGACGGTTAGGCAGGTGCTGCAAGTGTGCTACAGGCTGAGAGAGAGCTCGCCCTGGATGCGGTTGAGCGATGCAGTAGATAGAGAGGATGATAAAAAGGCAAGTAGTGGCTTTACGGGTACGACAGGTCCGGATATGCTGGTCAAAAATGCGACGGTAGCAGACTTGCAGTTGGAACCGCGCGATTACAAGCCCGGGAAAGAGAAGTTGCACTATTTGCTGGTAGAAGGGCGATTTACAGCTACAGAAGAGAGCGAAGGGTCCGATTGGCGACATGGAAGATTTTACAGTGAGATCAAGGCAGACGAGTGGAGATTCGCGTTGGAAAAGAACCAGCTCATTGACGCGCTTGATACGGACCACAAGTGGTACGAGTCCCGCGTGGTCGATTTGGACCCCGTTAGCGTACAAGTGCATTTCCGTGGGTGGACAGCAAAATGGGACGAATGGATCAAGCGCACGTCCACGCGTATTGCACCACTCCACACTAAGGTTCCGAACTGGCGCGATTTCCAGGTTGGTGACGAAATTCTTGTGGGCAGGGAAGTAGCTACTAAGACCTACCCAGAGTGGAGTATTACCCACGTCATAGATCGCCAACAAGTCACACATGACGGATCGCTCCGGATCAGGATCAACGTGGATGGCACGAGGCGGTGGATTGATGCACAAGACGAACTGCTGTGTCCAGTGGGTACGCACCCAGCGGTCAACGCTTCTGCAGTTGGCAAGCCATGCGCGCCTTCTTTTTCGCCTGCAAGCTCTGTATCGCGATATGGACAGGATTACGATGCAGATCGAGGTCGTCCAGAATTTGAGGGCGTTGTCGGGCTGTCCAATTTAGGGAACACGTGTTTCATGAACAGCATGCTGCAGTGTTTGATCAACACACCGCCCCTTCGACAGTATTTTCTAATGAAGGATCCCGTGACTGGGCGACCTTTTTTCACAAAGGAGATCAACCGAGATAACCCGTTGGGCATGAAAGGCATCATGGCGGTCGACTTTGCGAGCTTGCTACGCAAGATGTGGAGCAACGAATTCAAGATTGTCACTCCGACGAAATTGAAATCAGTGATTGGTCAGTATGCACCCCAGTTCGCGGGGTACCAACAGCATGATAGCCAAGAACTGATGAACTTCTTACTAGATGGTTTGCACGAAGACCTTAATCGCGTCAAGTCGAAGCCGTATACTGAGCCTGTGGAGGGGAAAGGCCGCAGCGATTTGGAAGTGGCGCAGGAGGAGTGGAAGCAATTTTTGCGCCGCAACGATAGCATTATTGTGGACAACTTCATGGGACAGCTTCGAAGCCACGTAACGTGCTCAAATGTTGCTTGTGGGAATGAGTCGGTCACTTTTGACCCTTACATGAGTTTGTCGGTGCCGATTACAACGAACGAAACGCTTACTGTCGAAGTGCAGTTGTTCTGGGCCAACGGTGATATCCCGATGAAGTACGCTGTGCGTCTTCCGAAAGATGGTTGCTCTCTACGAGATGCAAAGGTGAAATTGAGCGAGCTTTCATGCATTCATATCTCGCGAATCATCTTCGTCGAGGTATGGAACCATCGAATTCTCAAAGCCTATTCCGACAAGATGTGCATCGACCGCCTGCGTGACGGCGTCCTTCACGCATACGAGCTAGAATTGCCGATGGCAGAGTACTCTTTCTCATCACCCGCCATCCGACCGCTCCATGGACAGCAAAGACTGGGCACGATGGAATCCGAGCCAGTACCGGCAAAGCAAATGCATCTAGTAGAGCTGCTGCACCTGGCACCGGTTGCGTCACCAGTGAATGGGCAGACCAGTGCCAATGGCAAACGGGGTGAAGACCGATATGGATTGAAGCAAAGGCGAGTGGAGGTAGAGCTATTTAATACACCGCTTCTTGTGTCGATCGGCCAGAAATGGACAAAAGCGGAAATTCATCGAAAAGTGTGGCAGATTGTCCATCGCCTCGTGGCCACGAAGAGATCGGGCAGTGACTCCGGGGCCGATTTTGGCTGTCGCAGAGACCAACAGCTGCCATACCGTTTGCACGTGACTGACCCAAATGGCGCAATTACGTTCATGAGTGACCTGTCCCGCGATGACGAAGTCGTGGATGTTCCTGACAGCACAAGTACGCCGTTTCGGTTTACGCTTGAGTGGAAACGCGATGGGTACGATCAAATGGCTCAGTTGTTGCTCTTCTGTCCTCACCATTCACTGATTGCGTTTCGTGAACAGCTACCAACGAGGATACGATGAAACGTCAGCAAAGCGAATTGCACTTCACCAGTCGATGGCGAACCTGAAATTATCGCCCGGAGCTGGCCCCATCACGTTGCTAAGTTGTTTGACCAAATTTACGGAACGCGAGCAGCTTGGTGAAGCGAATACGTGGTATTGCCCCAAGTGTAAGCAGCACGTGCGCGCGTTCAAGAAGTTCGACCTCTTCTCGCTTCCCAAAGTATTGATTTTCCACTTGAAGCGCTTTCGCTATGCCCAAAACTCGTTCTATTTGCATCGCGATAAGATTTCGACGCTGGTAGAGTTTCCCGTCGAAGGCTTGGATCTGTCGGAGTTTGTGGTCGGGCCGCAAAATGGCTCGAAGCCTATCTACGATCTTTACGCAGTATCCGAACACGTGGGCGGTCTAGGTGGCGGTCACTACACTGCCGTCGCGAAGAATCCAGAAAACAAGTACTGGTTCAACTTCAACGATAGCCACACCAGTCCGACGTCAGCAGAGAATGCCGTGTCAGCGCGAGCATATGTGCTGTTTTATATTCGTCGTGACCAGGTTTAAGACAAGCATGCGCGTGACTGACCGAGTTCGCTGCATGTGGCATCAGAATACTGATCGGGTGAGCCTACTTGCCTCGTTTTGACGCCCTCGTTTGCATGCCTGTTGCGATGTGGGCAATATGCTTTGACGTTTAGACTCACCATACGATGTCGAGAAACTTGCCCATGCGCTGGCGGTCGACTGGTGATCACTGTGAAATGTCTGGCAGTGCCAGTTGCCTGCGGTGAGCATTGGGAAATGGAGTAACAACGACGCCGTCAATCGTTCGAAGAAGACTTGGACGATCCAAACGAGCTGGCGAACGTCTTGGAATTAGCCGACGCAAAGCGGCTAGCAATCTCGCAGTTTTGAAGTCCTCGCTGGTCGGCCATTGCCGGCAGAACAACTGGCGGATTCTGTTCTAGTGCCGCTTATCGAGCGAAGTATGCCGATAACTCCTGACGGGGCCCTGAGCGTAAGTGCGCGTCGTGAGTGGACTTTGGTATCGGATTCGTGCGTGACATGACAACTTGAAGCTCTGCTCGCAGAGGCCGCACTCTTGCGTACAAAGCCCCAGCTGGGCCTCATCATCGTTCTCGGCCGTTCTCGGCCGTATCTTCCATTTGACTTGCAAACTCGGCACAGCAGCTCCTGCCGTAACGAAGTCGAGAGATCAAGAGGTCAAGAGGTCGAGAACAGTGAACGAGACCATATCCGACCGACTTGTTGTCTACTCCAGAGGCTGGCTGTAGCGCATTCGAAAACACAATCGAATCGATACCGTCGATTGTACCGGTCCGACCGCAGCATATGTCTCGTCTTTGTCATCTTCTTCTCATCCAGTGCGATCTCGACGATCCAGCTGCAAAGAAAATGACGCGGGACATCACACTGGGAAGGTTTGAGACGATACAATCATATGGGCATCTTTGTCGTCGCGAATGTCGCTTTTGCATCGACAGTCAGTCCGACACGGCACTTTCCGGATCAGTCGTTACTCGCGTACCCGCGAGGAAAAGTCGTCACTGCGAATGCGAACAATGACACGGCTTCGTAGGCAACGCTCTACGTCCATTTTGCGATGATTGAGTCAGCATTGCGTGCATCGGAAGCTGGAGAATGGCCAGGTGGGGACAAATAAACCTGTCAACGATGACAACCACTGCACGAGTCGCCGCAACGGTCCGCGGAAGAGCAAGCCAAATACACACGTCACGACGCACGACGTGAACTCACGCGCTACAGGAGGCACTGAGATGGCTGCCAGTTGCAGCAGGTGCTGTGCACCAAGATGACCAACTTTTGGCAGGAGATTGCGGCTCGAGGTCGTCGGAGCGATGGGTTGCTCGCACAGGTCCGCCGCCTTGATTCACATGTCTACAGCCGCTTCTACTTCACTTGTCAACCAACACGCACGCTTCGCACCGATCGACACGGAGGCAGAGTTCAAGTGGTACGCAATCTCCTGTCTCGTATACAGAAACTTTCGATCCGTCGAGGCGTAACAACCCTCGTCCTCCCAAGATGACCCAAACGAAGCCACTGTCAAGACATGTGTAATGCCAATCTCTGTTTTTCTCGACAGAATTGCCATGCTGCCGTCGTTCGTTCACCGTTTGTTCCATCCGTCAGCCGAGTGTCATGCATGCACAAGCACTTTGTTCCACGTCCTCGCGATGACGTGCAAACTGCTGCCGCCGCTTGCCATGTATCGTCATCTCACCACCTCTGCTTGTTCAAGACGTCTCCTTCAACTCTAATGTGCGCTCTGGAGTGTCGTTCGTCTGCGCTTCCCTTTCCTTCCTCTTTTGCTTCGCTCGCTCTTTTTCAGTAGCTGTCGCCGCTATCATCACCGTCGCGACTTCTGCTGCCGGTGTCGCAAGCACCTCGTCGCCCACCACCTCACCTGGATTCGCCCATATCCACGACAACCAATTGGGCGTGAGCGCGTACATAAATGTACTCCACATGGCCTCGCCACTTTGCACTTGCACCGTTTGGTCTCGAACCACGCTGCTCACAAACTCCTTTGCATGGTCCTGAATATCCCCGCGACTCAACACTTGATGCACTGCATCCCCAAGCGTCTTGCTCACATTCTGCTGCACGGGGTCTTGCAACAGCGTATGGGCCAACAGTCGCGCTACATTCGCGCGCGTCTGCTCGTCCTGCATCAGCTGCTGCATCAGCAGTAGCAACGATTCTTTCGCTTGTGCATCCGCTACAGTCGAGCGGAACAGCGCGACAACTTGCCGCAGCGTATTTGGGTCCTCCAATACAGCAGCAACAGTCCACTTGCTCACTTCGGCCACCTGGACCCGCGTCATGGGATCAGCCAATGTACGAACGACCAGCGTCTGCACTGCAGTGCGCGTCGACTCCATTGCTGCCAGCTGCAAACCGAACGTGCCGTCCACACACAACAAACAGCAACACCCAATCCGTCAGTCCTCGTCAGGCCAATCCTCTCCCTCTTCTCAGCAGCTATCGGTACGGTAATGATTGCACCACAGGTTCCCGCTCACACGATTGCCACTGGTGCAATCATTTCAGTACGTCTGCAAACACACAATCACCACAGCGTCGTACGCGTTGCAAAAACTGCGACGCCTGCGCCAACACGTTCGGGTCGTTCAGCACCGTCTGCACAATCAGCGACGCCAACTCGCGCGTGTTGTCGCGCAGCGTCTCGTCCTGCAGCGACCGCGACGCCACGTCGGCCGTGTGGCGGCTCACGCCCATCTTCAGCTCCGGTGCGAACGCCACGAGCGCTACAGTGCCGAGCGCCAGAGACCCCATCCACCACCACACGCGTTGGCTCCGCATGAGCCGTCGGACCATTTCGGGCTCACTCATTGGCGTCGACGGTAGAGGTCGAACTGACGAGTCCGACGTGATATGTCGAGTCTGGACGGCCTGCAAGCGCGGAAGGCGTGCGCGCAGCGGTAGCACGACGCGCTGTTGCGCGTGGATTGGACGAGCGACAGGGCGCGACGTGCGGCTGCGTGTGGCGCGTCGAACGGGCCACATGCGTCGCGCGTGTCGCTCGCTCGCGCTCTCTCTCTCTCTCTTTGTCCTCTGTCTCGAGTTGTTCCTTCTCGTTTGTGGATGTCGTCGGATGGGTTGACGAATTGAGCGTTTTGATTGGCTGTGGTGTAAGCAGAGACGAAAGAGGTGGCGCCGGACTGATGGGCGTGAATGAGTCTCGGGGGAAGAGACGGCGGACGGCGAAAGGGAAGTGGACGGCGGACGGCGGAACGGAAGTGGACGGCGGACGGAACGACAACCAGCTAACAGCACTACTGGTCGCGAGTAACACTGTGTGAAAACATGTCCATTGCACACGTCGTTGCATATACACACGCACTATCCTATCCCATGTCTTTCAACTCATTGCAGACACCACCGCGTTACCACGTGCCACAACAGCACGCGCGACGACGATCGATCCTGCGCCTCTCTGCCTACGGTTCGTTCGGTGGCCACTTGCACACATGTCATATCTCTTTTTTTCTTCTGTCTCGATTCGATCCACCACCTCTGCCTCCTTTTCGTCTACTGTTGCCAATCTCCGTCGTCACGCACGCGCGCTCGTATACCCAGTGGGACAACACCGTCAACACGCTGGCGTGCTGACGAGAAGCAACAGCTGCTGATCGCCCGCATCGCTCGCTGGACCACTTGGTCGCTCGTGCTGTGGAGAGTGCTGCACGGCGTGGCGTCGACTTCAGCAGCGTCCGCCCTCCTTGTATATTTAAAATGTCTGACACTGATACTTCCAGATCACGGCAAAGCAGTCGCCACTTCCCGTTGCAAAGTAGGGGGACGCTGGGGACGACGCCACACTTATGACCGAATTTCGGTAACCCGTTAGCGTTAGCACCGAGCGCGACGAACGCGGATCCCAGAACACCACCGACCGGTCTTTGGAGCCGGACATCAACCATCTAATGGCAAACAGCAAACAACAGACACCACAAAGCAATCAGTCATGCGCTCACCACCACCAGCAAAATGACACAAACAACAGCAAACGACACACACCTTCCATCTGGCGTGTACGCCACCGATAGCACAAAGTCTTTGTGGCCCTGGAACAGCATGCGCGGTCGTGTCGTCGTACGGCCCTGTGCGCACACATCCCACAACATAATGTTGCGGTCGAGCGAGCCCGAAATCACGTTCTTGCCGTCGGGCGAGAACGCAATCGAGTATACCGAGTCGCTGTGGCCTTCCAGGCGATCCAGCAATTGCGCTGTCTCTGTATCCCAAATCCGTACCACCTTGTCCAGCGACGCAGCTGCCAACAGTCGTCCGTCAGGTGACAGCGCCACGGACGTCACGCCATCCGATGGACCGCCGCTCTCGTTGCCGAATATCTTCTTGCATTGCCCGTTGCGGGCGTCCCAGAGCCGCACCTTGCGGTCGCCCGATCCAGACACGATCAGGTCATTTACGTAATCCAGCGAATAAATCTCCGACTCGTGGCCAGTCATAGCAGGACCTTCCTCATTCGATGCAATGTCCCACACACGAATGGTATTTTGTGGCATGCCAGCCACTAGCTTTGTACAGTCCGGCGAGAAACACACAGCGCGGACATACGCGTCGTCTGCTTCGTTAGCCGAAGCGTTGGCCTGCGATGTAGGCGTCAGTCCGTTCGATCCTGCGGGACGAGACACGAGGAACTTGCGGTCGCCAGTCTTGACGTCAAACACCTGCGCTGTCTTGTGACAACCGGACGCCATCATCGTCCCGTCCGACGAAAAACGTACGCAGCACACGACGCTCTGGTGGTCCATTGACTGGTGCATCTCGGCCGCTGGGCGCTCTGATTCCTGATACGACATGCTCGTCTTGGACGAATATACACAGCTCCAGTTCAGTCGACTCGCCTTTGTGTTCGAGCTCTTCTGCGTCGTGTTGTTGCCTGCTGCTGCAGACAGCGCCGTCGAGGAGCCCATGGCCGCGCGACTATCCGCAGCTTCGTTCTCCGTCTTCATCGAGCTCGACGCTGTGCTCTGCGACTGGTTCGCACCCGACGCAGCTCTTGGGCTCGAGTTGGAGCTCGTGGAGCCCTGTTCCCGATTGAGTTTCGACACTTGCGACAGCATGCCACTGGACGTCATTGCACTGTTGCCACCGCTACTGCCACTGCCGGCAGTCGAAGAGCTCACAGACGGCAACGTGCTCTTGCCATTGGCATTCATGCTCGACATGCTCGACTCGGCACCATTATGTTTCGACTTTTTCAGCGCAGGCGGCGACGACGACGCGTTCACGACGCGGTCTTTGCCGTTCACGTCGTTGCTCAGACTCGGCATGCGACGGGACGACGACATGGACGCGTTGGCGTTGTTCGTGTCCAGTGGACTCAGTTGCGGCGGCGCGTTGCTCGAGTTGCCCTGTTGGGGCGGCGGCGGCAAAGGCGGCGGCTGCTGGCCCAGTTGCTGCAGACTGCGGGACGCCGGCTGCACGGGCACGACGCGAACGGGCGAGCCCACGTTTCCTCGCTGTTGCTGCTGTTGTTGGTTGTTGCTACTGCTGCTGCCCGCGCGGTTCGACGACGTGGCTGCTGCCACAAGGTTCGACATGAGCGACGACGAGTCCTCTTGGATGCTGTTGCTCGACGGCACTGCGCGCGAGCGCTTACTCGGGAGCTTGACGGCCACGGGCTGCTGCGGCGCCACCTGCTGTTGCTGCTGCTGCTGCGGCGGGAGCTGCGGCCCCCCTTGGCCCGTCTCGAGCTGTCGCCGCATGCGCAGCATATCTTCTTCGTACTGCTGGCGGATGCGCCGGTGGTTGGCTTCGAGCGCCTTGAGCGACTGCTGGATCTGGTCCATCTCGACCACTTGCGACTGGATCTTGCGCTCGACTTCGAGCTGCTCCATCTTGGCCATGTTCAGCTGCTGGATCGCAGCTTCGTACTCGACTTTGACCTGGTCCAGCATCTCGCCGACGCGACTCGTGGCCGCGGTCGCGAGCTGCGGCGGCGCGCCGGGGTTGCCCGAGGACGGGCCGCGGAGTTGCTGCGTTTGGGGCGGCGGCGGCACGGCGTTCGGGTTCCCGCCGCGTCCACGGGTCGGCCCGGGCGCGGACGACGTGTACATGGGGAGGCGCGGGGGGGTGGCTGCACGAGGAGGAACAGGAAGCAAGAAAGGACGCGGTTACTACTTACGGGTTGTTGTTTCCTTTTGGAGGGGACACAAGATTTGGAATTGGTGGTGCGCGCGCGCACGGGACGCACCTGGTGGGTACAGAGTGAATGCGACACTGCGCGCGCTACGTGTCGTTCGTCGGGACAGAGACGGTGGCAGAGTGAAGGTCAGTGGGTGTAGGGGTTTCCTTTTCCACCAGCGGTCGCGCAGTTGCTTGCCGCACGAGGTTGCACACGGTGGGAAAAGGATGCTTTCGTTCGTTGCCTTTGCGGTCGGTGGCTTGGAGACTGCGTGGCTCCTCCGCTGCCTACCTCTTGCTTGCGTGCTCTAGGTGTCTGTCTGTCTGTGTGGGTGTGTGTCTTTGCCCCCTGAACGGTAGAATGGCCGTCGCAGCGAGGAAAAGGGGGGCGGGAGGAGGCGGAGCGAGAGGGGGTGGTGGATGGGGGGACTCGGGGACCCGAGAGTGATGGTCTCTGCAATTCAAACGGGTAAAGCCAGGCCGGCTCGCAGCGACGAGGCCGCTGGCCGCGGCGCGTTTGGATATCAGGAGTACGAGGACTATTATTTCTTGAAGGCAAACTGCGCGTGGTGACGTAAGAACCAACCGAGAAGATCATTTCGGGTCTGGTCCGCATAGAATACAACGGCGCCAGCTGTTGACTCGTGCTACGTACGAACGCTTAGCAAAACATTGTGCACGTAAATCACAGCCTGCGCTGGTCTCGAGGACACGGCCACATGTTCAATGTGTGCCAAAGGAGGCAGATCTGCTGCATCTCGAGATAAACAATGAAAGCCGTTGGCAAGTGATGTACAGGGTACGAGTCGCATTTTGCCCCTATGTTTTTCTCTATCGGTATGTAATGTGCACATCGGCGTTTTTCGGACGTGAGTTTACGCGCTTGCAAACCGCATAGACACGTGATAGGTGTGACCGAGTGAGTAAACAGAATGACAAGCCGGGACAGGGCTTTGTCTGTCCGATTCTTAACCCGAAAAATGCATTCGTATCTTCCAGAGGAACGAATACCATATGAAGACTGACTCTATGTTTCGAACTTAAGACGGTCAGGCCTTCAGTCGAGTCTACTTGATGCAAGCTGATCAGTGCTCTCTCACCATCGATTTCGCTCGAGAACAACAGGGCCAACCCACGAGTCGTCATCACCAGACGACTGATATGGGTACACACACGCACACGGTCGAACGTGACGAAAGATACTGCTCCCCGATTGGTCCATCGGCCCTCCCTTCGATGATCGCTCTCGTTGGTCGAGTCGATCGGAGAGCCTCACATTGTGTGCCTTTGTCGATCGTCCTGCTTAGTACATACAGTCTACGCCAAGTCTTGTGTTTTTTTTCCTCCAGCGCATCGCTCTTGCCGGCCCTTCCCCACATGGCTACAGTCGACAACGCGCGGCTCTGCCCGACAACGAACGCCCGCTGCGTCGAATAAGACCACATCCGTCGCGTGACTCGCGCATCGCTTGTCTGTGCAATGCCCTGTGGTGGTGGTACTCCACCGCATGGCAATCGAAAAACGACCTCGTGCTACACACGAAAACACCTGCCATCGGCCGTCAGCAAGGGACGGACCGGTCGCTGGGCCCACAAGCGGGGCGACATCTTGCATCATTATCGTGCGGTATAGACGACTTGCGCCGCCAGTCGGGCAGTCGTCACGGGTCGAGCAGCGCAATGTTTTCGAGACAGCAGGAGAGAGACACGCACACAAATACACACCAATCAACGACCAACAGACACGCGCTCTCTCTCTCTCTCTCTCTCTCGGTATGCCCCACTCATTTGCCACAGATTATACCGTCTCGTCTCTCCTCACCCCTTCAAGTCGATATCATCTTCCACAACAACAAAAACAACCCACGACCGCGCAACAATACAGCCAGTCGCCCAATCGTCGCTCCGGTACACACACACACACACACAACGCACACACACTCACACAAACATACACCTAAATGTCCTTTCACGTCGATATAACTCGTTCTATTAATACCCCCACGACACTTACAATCCACATCACACCTCCCTACAATCCGACACGGCCGTCCACTCGCGTCCACTCGCGTCCACTTACATCCGCCCACACCCGCCCGCCAAAACGCCAGTCGCCCCGCCACTTCCACCCCGACATCCAACGCTCGACACGCCCCCCCGTCCCCCCCCGTCCCCCCACTTCTCCACTTGCCCACTCGCCCTCGGATGGTGCGGTCGCTCCCCCTGCGCAGCGGCTTCTTCCCGTCGCCCGCGCTGTCCGCCGCCGAGCAGACCGAGCTCCTCCTCTGGGCGCGCTCGCTCGTGCCCGACCTCGTGCGCCAGCCCGACGTCGAGTGGACAATGCTCTCGGAGCGCAAAGGCGTGCAGCTGTGCGAAGACCGGCAGAAGGGCGGCCTCACGTACTCGATCCGCGCGGTCGCGACCGTCCGCGCGCCGCTGGACGACGTCATGAGCGTCTTCCGCGCGCCCGCGACGCCCGACTACCGCGCGCTCATGCAGCTGCAGCTGCGCGAGTGCTTTGGCGACGCCGCAGTGCTCTTCCACCAGGCGCAGAACGACGCCGAGGCGCTCAGTATCAAGTGGACCGCTGCGCGCACGAAGAAGAGCGTCGCGACGCTCGGGGGCCACGTCGGGCTCGACTTTTGCTTGCTCGAGTACGTCGGCGTCGTGTCGGCCGACGTCCTGACGGGCCCCGTCGCCGACAGTAGTGCGACGGCAACAGCTGCCGCGTCTGTGGGCGTCTGCCTCTACGAGTCGATCGACCAAGCAGAGTGTCCCGTGCTGTACGACTCGCACCGCCTCGAGCGCGCGTCGGTGTCCATGTGCGGCTTTGTCTTTCGGCCGCACGTCGACGACAGTGGGGTCGAAGCCACGTTCGTCTGCAGCATCCGGCAGCCGCCCGGCGTGCGCGCCCAGCGGCGCTGGCACCGCGCGCTGCTGGCGCACTGGGCCGAGTCGGTCGGCGTTATTGAAGAGGCCATTAGCCGCCGACGCATCTCGAAAGAGCTCACGAAGCGCCGCGTGCCCACGTGGGTCAGCGACAAGGACCGCGCGTGCTGCCACTTGTGCCTCAAGACGTTTACGAACACGCGGCGGAAACACCACTGTCGTGCCTGTGGCGAGATCATCTGCCGCGTCTGTTCGGTCTACAAGAGCGTCAACTTGCAGTCGGTGGGGCTGACGACGCTCCGTGTGTGCAAAGCCTGTATGGACGGCACGTCGACGAGTGCGCTGCACGCGCTGGAGAAGAATGAGACGACGGATGGGGGACCGGCAGTGTCGGGAGCTACTGCGGCTGCTGCTGCTGCTGCTGGTGGTGCTACTGGTGCTGGTCATCGCGTGTCGGCCGAAGGAGTGGTGTTTCCAAAGGGTGTGGACAATGCCGTGTTGCGAGATGCAGTGGAAGAGTATGCGTTGGCGCTGCCGGGTGCTCAAGTGTCGACCGTGCCGGATCTCGTGGGCATTGCCTGGCTGCAGCAGCTCGCGGCACGGGATGAAGAGAGCAAAGCGATGGTGAATGCGTTGATGGAGCGACTGCGCATTGATGTGCAGGAGAAGGGCACGGGCGCCAATACGGAAGAGCAGGTGGACATTTACGACACGCTGTGTGACTTGGCCGCCCAGACGCTGGCGTGCAAGTACGCTGTTGTTAGCCTTGTGGACGAGAACCGCCAGTGGTTTAAGAGTGCCGTGAACGTCAAAGAGTCGGAGGTGCCGCGCGACTTTAGCTTTTGCGAGTACCCCGTACGCGATCAGCGACCGCTTGTGGTGATGGACACGTTGCAGGACCCGCGGTTTAGGTCGAACCCGTTCGTGACGGGTCCGCTTGGGGTGCGTTTTTTGGCTGGCGCGCCACTGTTTACGGTGGACAACGAGTGCGTTGGTGCAGTGTGTGTGTTGGATACAGCACCTCGTGAGTCGCTGCAGGAGTCGCAGATTGCCACGATGCAGAACTTGGCACACTTGGCAATGGTCATGGTGCAGGAGCGACGGGAGGCGCAGAATAAGGTTGCGCGCGCCATGGCGTCGTCTCAGCTGGTCCCGGCGCGGCAGCATGGCGGTCAAACGACTAACACGGTCGAGTCGTCGGACCTCGTGCCACTGAGCAGCTACTCGGAGACGTCGATGGTTGTACAGGGCCGCGAACGACAGAAAGAAGACACAGTGTTGAAGGAGCAGATGATTCAGCTGCTGCGCAAGGCGTCGCAAGTACGCGATCAGGTAAACTTGCAGACACACAAGCAGCAAGCAGGACTCCAGAGCTCTGCTGAATAGATGACCGGCCAAGTTTTGCCACCTTGGCAACGCCATCTCCGAGCATCGTCACGTTACGGTTTCTTTGCTTTTGCGAGGATGAGATCAAGGTACACATAGAAGAACAGAAGAAAACAAGAAGAAAGTCTGTTGCGGCACAAAGAGGACGTACATGATGGAACGATCATACTGGTTACGACCGCGCGGTGGTTCGAAGCGAGTGGAAGCTGATGGACATTGGCGGGAAGAAGGACGCGACATCGCGATGGACCATCGTGCTTGCGCCACATGAAGAAAGTGTGGTCGTCATGTTCGACTTCATGACAAGAGTGCAGCCAAAACATGTCGAGCTGACGATGTATAAGAACGAAAACAGCTGAGTGGAGATGTGAGCAATGGTCTCTATAACACGCAGTAAAATGCCGGTCGATCATTTGTAGTATAGGGAAAAAGAATAGGGACTTTAGGGAAGCAGTCCGTAGTCCGTAGTCCGTAAGCTTTCGATAATGCAGATATGCTAATGCGCGTGTTATTAGCAGAGTGTAGTGTTGTAGCACGACAGAAACAGCGTCTGAGCACGTCACACCCATTTCGTCTATTGCGTACACTTCTCGTCTCGTCCGGCGTACATGTTTATCAGATACATCGAGTGGATCGCTCGCTGACGACCATACGGTCTTGACATACTCCAGACGCTTGCGGCTGATGGGTCAGGACATGCTGCAGTAGAGTGTGGATTCGCTGAAGGTCCAAGCATCGACTCGAGTTGATCACGTCGTAGAACTGACGACTGTAGGTATCTGACACTGCTTGGCGGATATTGCTACGGTAGTCCTGGGAACATGCAAGTGCTTTCATGCAACTAACATAGCCGAGCTCACTTACCCATACACAAACACACTTTACACGGCATCAAACGTCATGTTCAGCTCAATGAAGTACATTGCTTGGCTTTCCAATATCTACGTTCACGTTTGCAGGACACGAGTGTTCGCTCTGTCAGTAAGCGATCACATGAAGCCGACTATGACAAGTGATACTCGTTGAGAAGAGTAATGCTTGTCGGCAAATAACATTTGTAGGACAGTTCAGTAGTCTAAGATAGTCTAACCCACTTGACCATAGCCATCGCTGTTGCTACATGAGATCTGCTAGTTGCAAGAGGTACCTCGTTGGCGACGTTATACACTACGCACATCAGCTACTGCATGTAAGAAAACACGCACCTGCGGCATGGAACTCTACCAAAGCCATTTACTTCTAATTGTCATTGATACTGCTGTGTAGTGTTGCAAGAGGTATCGAGTGGACGACCGTTTCCAACGCATATCTACGATTACTTTATGGACTGCAAATCGAAGTCGGGTTGTGATGTCACAACATCACGTTAGTTCCCATCGATGTCAGCATTTGCTCCCGTCTTACGATTACTTCTTGTTGTCGATGTAGATGGATATCAATACGCACAATCGACTTCTACTATGTTAAACTTGCAGCAGTTCGTGGCGCCGAGAGTGCTACTAAAAATACAATTCATAGCGATGAGTCTGAAGATAAACGCATGCAGCCGTCACTACTACTAGCACAGCTTGGCTGGACTAGGAACCATCGAGTCGACGCCATAGACTTCGACATGGTCTTATTAGAACAGACCACGGTATACACAGATCAGCAAGCGTAAACTCGGTGTTGCTCTGCGACCTTAATTGACATGTTCATTGTTCACGCCTGCTCGCCACGCGCTAGAATATGCGCCAGCATCTAGACTGTAGCAAGCAAGACGCAGGTATGACGATGGGAGTGCGTTGTTACCACGATATGGAAAACTTCATCTGGAGCAAAGTTTAGACTTTCGTGCTGACGAGAGGAGAACTGACTTGTATAGCTCAAAGACCTGGTTGCAACGTTTGGCAGCGTCTCACAATTGCTTCGTCCTAGTGAAGGTTCGGCATTGTGCCATTGACACCGAATGTCGACATGGGCATCAGTCCTGGACCATAGCGGCAAGAGGTTGTTCTCAATGCATCCACCAGATACAGCCTTGTTCGTATCCTGTACAAAATCATGCCGTGTCTCGACTCTGTTGCTAAACGGCGTGTGCCTAAAGCCACAATCGCAGAGAGCTTGTGAGCACATCGTAGTCTCAGCTGTGGCAATCGCCGATGCCCCGCATCCCTGCAATTCTAAAGACTGCGGCTGCATTACCGTTTCCACGACGATGTCGGAGCCGGGAAGAGGTTTGCGATCGGATTTAGTTTCGTATGTATACCACACGCCTAGCGCACATATAAAGCAAGTGCAGCAACGATAATGGGTAAGGAGAGCAGGGAGACGACAGCACCACATAGCGTCTTGCGATTGTCAGAGTCAGGTAAATGCAAGCTCACGGCTTTGGCAAAGCAGTAGCATCAAGAATCGTATATACGCTGTCGTATGCAAGGCTCACTTTGTAAGCCTGTCACTACCATCCTTTCTCTCATTTATCGTTCAGACTCGGTATCCCTTCAGGCTACCACGACAGGTTGACCAACCCAACTATTGTTTCCTCATTCGCAAAGATTGCCGAGTATGTTGCACACAGCGATGTGCAGACACATTGCTCTGTTTGCAAAGCTGTTCTCCGTTTTGTTTTTACTATTTGAAACATGATAGGGGAAGCGTCCATCAAGTTTGTTCTGTCGTAAACAGTCCTAAAGGTACAGTCGCATTGGGCATAAGAACTTCGCCGACATAGTTCTTTGTTCACATGCGGCTTGGCACATCGCACCACAGTACGTACAAAACACTTTGTCGTCATTGATCGTATGCTTACGCGGGAAGGAACGAAGTACACTTCGACCGCCAATTGTGATTTGGTCGGTGTGCCCGTTGTGTTTGCCTGTTGCCTTACCTTCAACCTGTCTTTCTTCTTCTCCATCTCGGTAGCAGTCGGATAGGGCATGAGAGTAAGCGAACATTTCCTGTGCGGTCGCAGCACTTGACGGCAGCGGCAACCGATTACACGGCCCAGGCATCTTTTCCACAGCCTATGGCAGTAAGTCGGTTTTCTTCTTCCTACGGCTCGACACAAGGGCTTGCTTGTACTTTGCTGATGTTAGCAGCGGTAGCACTCTTTGCCTGTCGGGAGGACCTTAGTATACATCGATTGCATCTTGGCCGTCGTTTTAGGTGACTGCAACTTGGCTACGACATTGGCACACACTTTGAGCCATCCGTGATATCCGATGGAGCGTTGTCGTTGAAAAGGAGACACTATCTCAGCTCACGGTCAACCCACCGCCTGACATGTGCTGCTACAAGCATTCGCACACCACACACGATCGAGTACGACACCTTCAACACGCGCCAACATATCCAGGATCCTGCAAGTAAAGCACCTTGGCATCTTTCTGAAGAACCGTAAACTCTGCAACGCTATCGAATTCTCAGTCCATCGAAGTCCGAACGTACCGAAACGAGCACAATAGCTGTGAAATGCCCTTGCTCCATCTACAATTACCGGATCGATCACACAACGTCCATGCAAATGTAAATGTCTTGGCGATCACGAACTCCCACGAGTTGCGTCGTCCACAAGACTGGTCGTCTTTTATTTACATGTTAACCACAACATTCGATACTTACCCGCAAATTTAACATCAGACGCCGTGATATTTATTTGTTTGATTGTACATCAGTTTTTTCCTATTGTCAAGTTCCGATATTCTGAATGATCAGTACACATTTCAAGGTATGGTGAACGAATGTATGCATAATACCGCTATTTATCGGCACACCATGAGCAAGTTGGTATCTGCGTAGCGAATCTTAATCGAGCAGAAGTTCCACATACAGCTGTGTGAGTCTATCTCACCTTTAGAGGAAAAGAGCCATTCTCAGGAGACAAGTATTTCGTTCGTATGGGTGTTCATCTATGTATAGGGCATAGGTGCTCTTTGTTGATCAAATCATACTTACCTGACTGGTGCTTGACGCTGCTCAATGAGGGCGTTGACATGAGCCGGAGCAGGCCCCTTGCACTCCGGTGCTGTAAGGGTTCAGGAATGCTCTTTTGAGTAATTCCACAGTAGAATTTTTGTCAGCGGGGGTGAGCGCGTGCGCCGCCCCCACCACCCTCCAACAAGTACACACGCTGGTTTGCACCTTTCTTCGTGTTTTTTATTCTACTCAACTGTGTCTGCTGCGTGCACTCCTCTGCTGCGCCATGACCATCTTCTCGCTCTTCGCGCGCGACCGCGCCATGTCTAGCGGTTCGCTGCCGCCAGCATCGCCGGTGAGCAGCGCGGCCTCGAGCGCGGTGACGGCGCGAGACGACGATGCCCTGAGCGTTGCGAGCGGCTTCTTCAGTGACGTCGATGACGCCGACGAAGTCGACTGCGCCTCGGACGACGCTGTTGCTGGTGCTGCTGACGACGACGACAACTCCGCTACTGACACCGCCACCGCTTCCGACGAGGGCGCTGCTAGTGTCGAGACCACCGGGTCAGCAAATTCAACAGCTGGTGCCGACTTGCACCGGCTGTGCACGATGGGCAGCACCAATCTTCCCGCTGGCGCCGGTCTGACTGACCCCATGCACACCGATGGGATCGGCAACGACGTTGCCCAAGGTGTTACCGGCGTCGACGATACTGTTCACGCCGTTCACGACGACACCTTTCAAGACGATCAAGACATACTGTTTCAAGATGGTATTCACGACGATGGTATCGATACCTGTCCCGATTTCGACGACTCGATTTTCGACCCGACGCTTCTCGTCCCGGCCACCGACGACTGTCCCGTTTTTGACACTGCCAACTGCGAGACTGACCTCCCCGTCCCAGATGCGTTGCCAGGACATGTCCAAGTTACCAGCAACAACGACCAAGCTTCTCATGTTCAAGATGCCGCTAACAGCCCCGTTCAAGACCAAGTATCTGCCGCTCGCGTTGCTACAAGCACCCGTCTCGCGCTTGTGCCCGGTTCGACGAGCGAGCCTCCCGGCTCACGTCAACCGGTTGACACTACCGTCGCCGCCACGTCTCTCGCCACGGACGTTCCCGCCGCCCCGTCACTGGCAACGTTATCAGTGTTCGCCCACAATGCGGCGGTGTTCAGGTGCATTGCTTGCAGCTTTGCAGCACCGCAGCTCGCCGAGCTACGTGCTCACCGGCACCGGAAGAACCGCGGGACCGTCTTCACGGATGTTTTCCACAGTGGATGCACCTGTGCCATGTCGTTTGCCCAACGGGCTGCGGCTACTCGGCACAGCCTCCACTGTGGAACAGCCCAGACTGCACGTTGTGACGCAACTTCAACGCCGCAACTGCAGCAGCAACAACACACAGAAGACACACCGGCGACTGGAGGAGGGCCCACGGTGACACGCCGTAATCCTCTTCCAGACTTAGCCACTCTACTCACTAGTTCCTCTCGGCCGTGGCTGGCCGCTCGCTCTCGTCTTCGTGTCTCTTTGATCCGGACAGACACTCAAGACTCCAGTGGGACTTCAACGCAGCATGTGACAGTGCTTACAGGATGCAAGCGTCGCCGTCTGAACCCTTCGCTCGTACCGGATCAAGACCAAGATATCGACATGGACCACCTCGATGCTGCGCCAGTTGATGATTTTCTCCTCCGTATGATGGCGTACGCTCCTAACACTACTTCAGCTTCGCCGAAGCATACACACTTTCAGCAACCGTTGATTGTACCTTCCTCGGCGGTTCCTGTGATCTTCACACTTCCAAGACATGATGAAGAAAATCAAGATGTTGCTACTGGAGTTACTGAAGACCTTGACGACCACAAAGATGATGATCTTGACGACAACAACGATGACTTTGATATAATTACTGATGACAAAGATGAAAATGATGATGAAAACGATGGCAACGATGATGAACACGTAGACAATGGAAACGATGATGATGACGATGGCGCCACCGATACTGCTGCTGCTGATGATGTTACTCCGAGTGAGGTTACTCTACCACAAGACCCCGATGTCGCGATGCCAGATCCAGACCCTGAGTCCGCTGCATGGACCATGTTTTTCGATGGAGCTTTTCGCCCCCGTTCGAGACAACACGGTGCAGGTGCAGGAGCTGGTGCCACACTTTTCAAGGCACAGTGAACAAGTGGGATGTTGCTTGCTTCCTGCCCAGTTCAACGCACACCAACAATACTGCTGATTATATTGCTCTTATTGAAGGTCTCAGTGGGGCTCTACATCATTATGTGAGCAGTCTCACGGTCAAGGGTGACAGTGCATTGATTCTGGAGCAAGTGCGTGGAAGATACTCCTGCAACAACGATCGACTACGGCGTTTGCGCAACAAGGCTCGTCGACTTCTCCACCGCTTCGACCACTACGAGTTGATACACGTTGACAGGATGAAGAACCAGGCTGCAGACAGATTGGCGAACCGGGCTCTGGACAGTCAACGGACCAAGACGAAATGCTCTGCCCATGGCATCGATGGCGTCGATTGCAGCACCCATGCTATCGCCACTGGACCTGCGATTGCAGCTGGGACCTCCAGAAGACCTACTGTTTCGGCTACTGGACCAGTAAATATGGACATTTCGAGTGGAGATAAAGCAGGTGAAGACAATCTGGAAGATGGTGATGCTGCTGCTGGTGTCATCCGCCGGGACAGAGGCCGGACGTTTTTTCAGTTCTTCCATTTACTGCTGATAGCGTTCCATCCCGCCAGTCCAGATTGAAGTTGCGATCCAAGTTGAGTGAAGATGAGCTTGAAGCAGCTCGACTGGCGGTAAAGCAGGTCGCTGATGACTTTGCGGACAAGCTCACGGATGTCGAAGATTGGGAAACAGCGGAAGTGTACCTCGCAGCGCTGACTCCGTCATTATACGCTGCTCTTTTGCCATTTTCGCAGCGGCCACGACCTCCAGGTCATTCACGGCGACAAGAGTTGAGTTCAGGTCGCCAGCGAGGACGTCGAAGACCACCTCCAACACCTGGCAACCAGCAACTGAACGAAGCTCTGGACCATTTGGACAACATTCAGCATGGATCTTAGCCACCCAGCCTGCTATTCGGAAGGCGCGACGACGTGCGGGACGAATCCGGTCAGCCATGAAGCGCACTCTGTTGCGGAAGAAGTTTCGGGTTCATGAGAAGGCGTGCATGCAGCAAGTTCTGTCGGAAGCGTCACCGGATCCTGAAGTCACTGGTGGAGAAGCTGCTCCCACGCGCTGTCCGATTGCAAGAGCAGCTATTCATGACTACTTCCAGGGTGTTAACACTACTCAGCGTGATTTTAATTTCGATGACAGGGCTGGTGCTACATTTCGAAAGCTTCTGTCTGCTCTTCCGCCAGCCTCTGCAGCTATGGATGCTCTTACGATGGACATCACGCCAGATGAAGTGGAGGTTGCTGTTCACAAAGCCCATGCACACTCCAGCCCGGGTATGGATGGTGTCGGTCATGACATCTTCAAGAACTATTTACCCGAGTTGTTATCGACACTGCATGCTGCTTATGGTGTATGCTGGAAGCATGGAAAGGTACCTGCTGTCTGGAAAGTGGGATCGGTGCAGCTGATTTACAAGAAAGGTGACCCCAGTGAATCAAGTAACTGGAGACCGATCTGCCTTCAAGCGTGCATCTACAAGCTCTACTCGGACATGTTGGCGAGGCGACTAAAGCGCTGGCTGGAAGCAAATGGCCGTTTGACTGACTCGCAGAAAAGGTTTCGAAGTGTCAACGGTACCGCCGAGAACAATTTTGTGATCATGGCTGTGATCGACCAGACCAAGAGACGCCCTCGTCCTCTCCACATGGTCTGGTATGACATCAAGAACGCATTTGGGTCGGTGCCACCGGAGCTGATCTGGCGTGTGTTGCTGACTACCGGTACCAGAGTCTCGTTTGTGGATCGTCTCAAAAATATCTACGATGGTGCGTTGTTTACGGTGGCCAACACGGCAGATGGTGCGACGGACCCGACCCAGCTTCGGATGGGTGTTTTTTAAGGTTGTCTTCTGTCGCCCTACTTGTTCTTGGTTGGCATCATGCCCCTCGTCCGTGCGTTGCAAGAGCTTGCTCCGGAGATTGGAGTGCCCGTGGCGGCTGACCGTAAGGTTTCGGTGACAGCATATGCAGATGACTTGATGACATTCAGCTCATCCACCGTCGGTATCAAGAAGGCACACTCGGTCGTTGTCCAGTTTCTTCGGTGGTCTACCATGCAAGCCAATGCTTCCAAGTGTGCCTCGCTCTCGGTCAAGACCGACACACATGGACATTTACGTGACGATCAAGTGGAGCTTACACTGGACGGTGACATCATTCCGTCGCTCAAGATTTCGGAAGGGTACACGTACCTGGGTATCGGTGATGGCTTCAACCACGCCAAACACCGTGGCTCGATGGGACCTGTTTTGCAAGACATGAAGCGCATGATGACACCGATTTTTCGTTCATCACTGGCTCCGTGGCAAAAGATGAAGGCGATCAAAACGTATGTTTACCCGAAAGCAGATTATCTGCTGCGACACGTACGAGCCTACAAGACCCAGCTGGACAGTGTGGACTCAGCCTTGGCACGTGGTTTACGCCATCTTCTGAAGCTCAACCAGTCCAGCACGACTGATACGTTTCACGCTCCGGTTGCCGCCGGTGGTTTGGGTTTCATCCAACTCGTCGAACTTCGGGCTGTGCTCCAGATAAGCCATGCCTGGCAGATGCTGCACTCCTCCGATGTGCTTATTCGTGAGATTGATCAAGAGCAAGTGTGGCAGGCAATACAGAAGCGATTCATCATGGACCCGGACCATTGGCGTGGACGTATACCTACTGCCATCCAGATCTTTTTGAATGGTGATCTCGATTCTTCTCCATTTTCCCGTCAGAAGCGCAAGTCGAGGGATATTGGTTCGTTATGGGTGGATGTCAAGAATCATCTTGCTACCAGTGGATTGAAGTTGACGACGGAAACAGTGCTCACGGAAGCTGGAACTGAGGTGGAAATGATGGCGCAGCTCAAGTTACCACATCTATCGCAACCACTACAGCACAGCGACATCACCAGGCAGCTTCGCCAGCATTTCAAACTGACGGAGCTTGAGCGGTGGAAAGGATTGAGTGCCCAGAGTACCGTTGTGCGAGCTATTGGTGGAGTTGGAAGCTGTTTTCTTTCTCGTGGTGGTGGAATGAGCGACGCAGAATTTCGTTTTGCTTTGCAGGCTCGGGTTGATTTGGTACCCACTCGATCGGTTCTTCGGCGTTGGAATGAGCGTGGGGGTGCAACCTAACGCCACCCCAGATGCCATCACGATGAAACGCTCCCACATGGTCTTCAGCACTGCCCAGGCAATTCTCGGGCCATTGATGGTCGTCACGACCGTGTTCTTGGGATGATCAAGAAAGCGGTAGAGCCCATTGTTTCCAAGTCCTCCGGTCGTCTGACGGATTGCTTTGACACATACGTGGAGGGTCTACCGGGTCGTCAACTGCGTCCAGATATCCAGATTTTTGATGCAGCTTCGAGGACTGCCTACATTTGTGATCTCGCCATTGCCTTTGAAGCTCAGAAGACTGACGACCCTACTACAGGCAACATGCGCGTTCGTCATGCCGAGAAGTTGGTCAAGTACCAGCGTGCAAAGGAGTTTCTGGAGACGATGGGATGGCGCGTTCAAGTTTCAGCTTTGGTGTACGGATCGTGGGATCAGTGTTGCCCTCCAACTACAAGGTGTTGACGGTGCAGCTACGTCTGACCAAGAGGCATAACAATCAACTCAATCGTCGGATTTCGGTGGCATGTGTTCAGGCAAGCTACAAGATATGAAGATTACATTCGGGAGAGTTGAATTCAGGAGATACGTCAAGAAACTCGAGGCCAACTGTGGCTCCCACGGCTACATCGACCTCGCCGAGCACCAGGACCTATGACCCATGTGCGCGACCGGTGGAGACACCTACTTCTGTGCCATCTACATCGAGGACTTCTACTTCAACCAGCCAACCACGTCGGGCATCTACGCGGTGGGGTCCGCTTCGTTCTCAGCCGCTCACGACTCCTGTCCCTCCACGCCGGACCAGCACACGATGGGGACCTCGTCGAGGTCACGTGACCTTATCTACAGCTCCGGACACCCAGTCAAGATCAAGACAGCCCCCACCACATCAACACTTGACTCGGACCTCGCATTCTTCAGGACAGCCACGCTCAAGGTCGACTCACCAGCCTAGGCGACCCTCGCGCCCACAGCACCAAGGTCATCCTCAGGTACGTCGTGCCGTCGCCACTGCTACCAGGAATTAGTAGTTCATGGACCTGTTTCGGTCCCATCGGCACTCTCCAGCAAGGACACCTCCGTTCCAATCCCAATGTAGCCATATAGCCCATAGGTGTAGCACTACATTTGGACGTTTTCCGTCCTGTCTACCCCCGCTTGCAGCTTTTGCTTCCCACGGGTGACTACTAATTGGCAAAAATACACGTAAGAAAATGAGAGGGTTGACATGAGCCGGAGCAGGCCCCTTGCACTCCGGTGCTGTAAGGGTTCAGGAATGCTCTTTTGAGTAATTCCACAGTAGAATTTTTGTCAGCGGGGGTGAGCGCGTGCGCCGCCCCCACCACCCTCCAACAAGTACACACGCTGGTTCGCACCTTTCTTCGTGTTTTTTATTCTACTCAACTGTGTCTGCTGCGTGTCCTCTGTTGCGCCATGGCCATCTTCTCGCTGTTCGCGCGCGGTCGCGCGTGGTCGAGTGGGTCGCGGCCGCCGTAGCCAGCGAGCAGCACGGCATCGAACGCGATTACGGCGCGGGACGAGGACGCCGTGTCGGTTGGGAGCGACTTCTTCAGCGACGACGGTGACGCGGACGACTCTGCGAGTGCTGCGACGGACGAGGGTGTTGCAGCTGCTGCTGACGCCGATGACATCGACGTGGACGCCACCGCCGCCGCTACCGACGAGGACGCCGCTCGTGTCGGTGCTGCTAGGGATGCAAATCCAACAGCTGGTGCCGCGCGGGAACGACTGCTCGCGACTGCCGCGACAGGTCTGGTCGATGATGCCAGTCTCACTGAACCGATGGACAACGACGGGAACACCCTTCAAGACATCGACATTGCTGCTCAAGGTGTTGCCTTTCATGGCGCTATGGATCAAGCTGCTTATGATGACTGTTTTCAGGATGTTGAAGATATTCTATTTGAATACACCGTCGATGACGATGCTACTGCTACGTGCCCCGACTTCGATGACTCGATCTTCGACGCTGCGCATCCCGCCATGGAGACCGACGACTGCCCCGTTCTTGTCCAAGACGTCCGTCCGGTCGACCTCCTCGCCGAGTATCCTGCACCTCATCCCGTTCAAGCCGGCCCCGCTCCCGACCAAGCTGCTGCCTCCGACGCCGCCACTACCGACCCGCTCGCCCCCACGCCCGGTTGGACGATCGAGTCCCAAGACTCACGTTCACCGGCTGACTATCCGGATGTCGACGATGGTGCAACGCCTGCCCCGTCTCTGGCCACGCTATCCATCTACCCGCATAACGCAGCGACTTTTCGCTGCGTCGCGTGCGACTTTGTTGCACCGCAGCTTGCGGAGCTGCGTGCGCACCGACACCGGCGGCATCGCGGGACCCCGTTCATTGACATTTTCCGCAGTGGATGCGCCTGTGCCATCTCGTTTGCCCAACGGGCAGCGGCTACTCGGCACAGCCTCCACTGTGGAACAGCTCAAGAAGCCACTTTGACTGCCATATCGGCGCGGCTCATGGCACCCGCAGACACACCAGCGGCTGAAGGAGGGCCCATGGTGACACGCCGTAACCCTCCTCCAGACTTATCCACCCCACCCACTAGTTCCTTTTGGCCGTGGCTGGCCGCTCGCTCTCGTCTTCGTGTCCCAGCTTGCTCCGCGGGAAGTTCAAGCCCAAGCCCCAGCTCAAGACCCGGTACTGCAGCGTCGCTGTCCGGTGCCAAGCGTCGACGGTTAAACTCCTCGCTGCTGGTGGGTCAAGATGAAGACGTGGACATGGACCACAACGAGGATAATACCGTTGATGCTTTCCTCCGTCGGATGATGGTTTACGCCCCCGACACGAGCAACACTTCGACGACGCCCCCGCAAGATATTCGCCCGGCTACTGCGCCATCTACGCCGACTGTTGTGTCGTCCGAACTCACAAGACACGATGTCAGTCACAACGCGGGGGCTACGGATGATGAAGACGAAGTTGATGACCCCAATGATGCCGTTTTAGATGAACACTATGATGAACATTTCGATGACAGTTTTGATGACAATTCTGATGACAATTTTGATGACACTTTTGCTGGAGATGATGGACACGATGACACTGCTACTGAAAACGATAATAAGGCTGGTACCACCGATGATGGTGCAGGTGACAACGCTGCTGCTGGTACTGTTGCTCCGGGTGCATTTTATTTAGCGCACGACCATGATTCCACGATGAATGCCCAAGACCCTGAGCCCACTTCCTGGACGCTGTTCTTTGATGGAGTGTGTCGCCGACGATCGATGGTATCTAATGCCGCTGCTGGGGAAGGAGCCATACTGTTTCAAGGCACGGTGAGCCAGTGGACCATTTCTCGGTATCTGGACAGCACGACGCAGACCAACAACACTGCAGAGTATATTGCTCTGGTTGAAGGACTTCGTGGCGCTCAACATCATGGCGTGCGTCGCGTCAAGGTGATGGGTGACAGTGCACTGGTTTTGGAGCAAGTGCGTGGACGCTACTCGTGCAATAACGCTCGACTTCGACGTTTGAGGAACAAGGCTCGCACTCTCCTGCACAACTACAACCACTACGATCTGGTCCATGTGGATAGGATGGAGAACCAGGCTGCTGACCAATTGTAAAACAGAGCTATTGACACTACAAGAACCCGCACCAAGTCTCCTGATCATGGGATTGATGGTTCTAGCTGTAGCTTGCGTGATTTCTTGCTCCTGTTGGTTGAAGATGGATCTCAAAGCCGGACTGATAACTTGATTGGCTGTGCAATGGAAATGGATATCTCACGTGGAGATGAAGAGTATGAAGACACGATTAACGATGAAGATGCTGCTGCCGATTATATCCGCCGTGACAGAGGTGAGACGTTTCCAGTACTTCCTGTCACCGCGGATAGTGCGCCGGCACGCCAACCAAGAATAAAGCTACGCTCCAATCTTAGCGATGCCAATCAAAAAGCTGCTGGATTGGCGGTAAAGCAGGATGGGGACGAATTTTCGGACAAGCTGACAGATTTGGGAGACCGAGAAACTGCAAAAATTACCAGGCTGCTCTCACGCCGTCAATTAATACGGCTCTACTTCCGTTCTCGCAGGGGCCTCGCCCGTCTGGACGACCTCCAAGTCTGACCAAGTACCCTGACCACCAGCGCGGTCGTCGACAACCACCGCAAACACCAGTCAGCCTGAAGAAACATGACGCGCTAGACGATCTGGAGGATATCCAACAAGAAACGAATTCGTCACAGCAAGCCATCAGGAAGTCAAGACGAAGTGCAGGCCGTGTTTGATAGGAGATGAAACGTAGTGTATTGAGAAAGAGGTTCCGCTCTCACGAGAAGGCCTGCGTGGAACAAGTTTCTGCTGAATTGCCTCAAGACCCCGAGAAACCTGCTGGTGATGAACTACCAATGCGATGTCCGATTTCACAAGGAGCTGTTCAAGAGTACTTTCAAGTTGTCAATACTCCTCAGCCTGCATTTAATTTCGACCATCGGGCTGGTGCTACGTTTCGACAGCCTCTTCCTACTATTAAGCCAGCCACTGCAGCCATGGATGCCCTTACGATGGAATTACCGTCAGAAGATGTGGAGATCTCTATTCACAAAGCGCATGCACACTCCAGCTCGGGTATCGATGATGTTGGGCACGATATTTTTTAAACCTATATGCCCGAGCTTTCGACGACCGTGCATGCTGCTTATGGTGTATGCTGGAAGCACAGAAAAATACCTGCTGTCTGGAAAAAGGTTTTGGTGCAGCTTATATAAAAGAAAGGAGACCCTACTGATATACGTAACTGGACACCCAGTTCCCTTCAAGCGTGCATATACTAATTCTTTTTGAATATGCTGATGAGGAGACTGATGCACTGGCTGGAAGCAAATAGACGAATGATTGACGCTCAGAAAGGGTTTCGAAGTATCAACGGCACCGTCGAATATAACTTCGTGAGCATGGCTGTGATCGAACAGGGCAAGAGATGATCTCGCCCTCTCCACATGATCTGGTATGACATCGAGAACGCATTTGGGTAGGTGCCATCGAAGCTGATCCGGCGTGTGTTGCTGACTACCGGTGTCAGTGTTTCCTTTGTGGATCGACTTATGAAAATTTACACAGGTGCTCTGTTCACTATGGCCAACACGGCAAACAATGCGACGGACCCGATCTAGAAACGGATGGGTGTTTTTAAAGGTTGTCTTCTGTCTCCGTATTTGTTCTTGGTTGAAATCATGCCCCCGTGCGTGCGTTACACGAGCTTGCTCCGTAGATCAGAGTTCCCGTGTCGTCTAACCGTAAGGTTTTAGTGACGGCATATGCAGACGAAGTAAAGACAATAAGTTTCTACACCGTTGGTATTAAAAGAACGCACTCAGTAGTTTTAGCGGAGCTACAAAGCTCCGTAAGTCAGAGGAAGACTTAGCGCTCTACAATAATCGTTTGTTCTACGAACCAGACCCATAGAGTCAACAAGCTCAGAGAGCTTACGGTACCTGTTCCAAGGGGGGATTAAACGATTCAAAGAATCAAACGCACAGAGTGCACAAGGAGCAGCATCCTTAACAAGGAGTTGCTACTTCCTTACGATCGCTAGACGCCTCAGAGAGGCACGTGTCTTTTGGATCAAAATAGGAGCTGAACTTTTTTTCTTCTTTTGACCTAAAAGAACACCGTAGAACAAAGTAAATAACCTACTCGCTTATGTACTAAATAATCCTTTTAAAAGATCTCGTAATCAATGGTTGATAGACATCAGTCTTCAACAATTAATACTGTGCTCTCATATTACTTTAAAGGGTCTCACATCCCTTGTGTGTACCACACCTATTGTCGACTACCAATCGACGTATAACCCCGTTTCCCCCTCCTCCACCAGACTGACGTTTCCACAAAACGTCAATCGCATTCTTTCTTTGAAGAGGACGGTGTGTGTGCGCTTCGACCTTACGGTTAGGAAAACACAAAACACCATGGCATTGCCATCCATGAGTCCTCGACTCTCTCGTCCTACCTCGACATCGATGTGGAGGTATATTATGGTAGCGATACCGATATCCATGGTGAATAGAGGACAATGTCCGAATCACCAGTGCAAGAGGCACAGCCTAATACTGCACCAGCTTCATTTGCCGAGCGTGGAGAAGCCAACGCGCCATCGGCGCCGCATCAAACGTCTTCGGCGATGCCATCATCACCAATCCTCTCGATGAGCAACAACAGTTAGCTATCCAAAGAGAGGAGAGCGCTCAGCGCCGTATGCAGCTTGCTGCAACCCTTGAGGGTCGTCGTGGCTATCTGTTCCCACCAGTCAATGTGGAAGAGCGTATACGCCAAACGACAGATCGTTCTTTGGCAACGTGGGCCATTAGCGCTGATCCGACATCTTCTGATGAGGTGGCGAGTCGACAGGTACTTTGCGAGAGGTACCTGCAACCTCACTTGACGACTCAAAGTCAATCCAAGTTGCGACTTGAAACGCAAGCACGGGGTGCACCGGTTTCCACCGATGAAGTTTATACCCATCCTTTTATTCGCACGCGAATCCCAGGAGGAAGAAGACAACGCTTTTTCTCGCTAGGTGCATCTGAAACGACACCTCAGCAGCGTTTTAGCTCTCAGAGCAAGTGACGATGTAGCAGATGTTCGTCTAGAACAAAGCTACGGCATGATTTCGCCAAGCTTAAGGCCAGAGGCCAGTTGCGAACTCGCGCACGCTATACTCCGGCTGTGCCGGTCAATGTGGGTTTAGTTCAAGCGGTACCCAACTACCCACCCGCCTCCACCACTATTATTGAGAAGAGCTCTCGGTCGAGAGATGACCCATGCAAAGATGTTCAAAAACATCAACGGCGTATGGGCAATCCTGCCGAAAAGTATTTTAAACTTCCACGAATTCTCCGACTCCGGTAACCCTCGCCACTTCACCAGATACTGGTATTGACCCTGACGACGACGTCGTTTATGGAGTCGCTTGTCATGGAAATAAAGGTTCCCTTGCTCATCGAGCAGCGTCAGAAGTGGTCAGTATACCGAAGGAGGAGCATGAGAGGGTGCTTCTTGAGCTGAGTGGGCTCTTTGAGACATTGGGTAAGACCCAGAGTGCTTTTGACGCGATGCGAGTCCGTGTCCAGGCGTTGTAGTTGGGCCAAGCCAGGATGGAGGCTCAGGTTGACCTCCTGATACGGATTCAGCAACCGATGGCAAGGCCAACCTACCCGGCGCAAGTGCCTCTAAGTTCACGTGAGACGCATCCAAATACGGCTTAAGCAAGCCAACGTAGAACACGGGGTGTGTGCGCAATTTGCGCGGATGGTTGAGCGCATACGCAAGTCCCTTCTTAGCGACGACCGTGAATGGTCCAATAAAGCGCGAGCGCAACATTGTCTTCAAGACGGCGGACAATACATTTGTAGGTAGGTTTTTAGCATTAAGTAGAAATTGGTCTCCGACCTGATAATGTGCCATACAACCTCTGCCTTTAGCATCAGCTTGTTCATTCTGCTTGTCTTGGATATCAGCCAGTTCGTCACGCACATGTCGTAAGACATTCAATCGCGTTGCGAGAAACTCGCTTACCTGTTTTTGAACAGTAGAAGGGCTGATATCAGCAAGCCGATCGGCCATCTCTACCCCATTAAGCCCTGAACCACGCAGTGGTAGAGTTAACGGAGCGCGAGGGTGTGTGAGACCATTCACATAAACGGTGTGTAGCCGGTGGAGGCATGCACGGCGGTATTTAACGCAAACTCAACGACAGGGAGCATCGAACTCCAATGATTTGGCGTTTCAGCACAATCACTGCGCAAGATGTCACCGGTGATGCGATTTACTCGCTCGGTTTGACCATCAGTATGCGGATGATCCGCTGTGGACATGTATAAACGTGTGCCGAGCACCTTAAAGATGGACTTCAAATACTTGCCAGTGAAGCGAGGATCTCTATCAGAGACAATTGCCAACGGCAAACCGTGTTGTCGAGACACGCGATCGATAAACAGCGTAGCTGTACCCTCACCATCAATGGTGTCCGGAACCGCCGCTAAATAAGCCATCTTGCTTAAACGGTCAACAAAGACCACAATACCAGTATTTCCATACAAATCCTTCGATAATCTGAACACGAAATCCATACTGATGAACTCCCAACACCCCTTGGGTATGGGCAAACTATCCAGAGGCGCAACCGCGTGAGATGAGGCTTTCACCCGTTGATTCATTGCACACGTACGCACATATGTGCTCATCCATTTGTATAGTTTGGGCCACCAATAGCATTGAATAATTGAGCCGTAAGTCTTCTCACGAGCGAGATGACCACTCAAAGCAGTATCATGTGCCTCATAGAGGATCCGATACTTCAACTCCTCATCATGAGGGACAACGATGCGAGGGGTATCCTCTACATCCGTGCTATAGCACAACAGACCCTGATCGATAGAATATCGATGTAGCCTCATACGTAATCGTACCGACAATTCTATGTCCGAGTCCTTAAACTCCTCGCTCCCTACAGCACGTAGCAGAGCTACACAGTGTTCATCCTTTGCATATGCCGTACGGATTAGGTCAGTGACCGACGACGACAGAGTCGTAACATGAGCAAGCTCATTGTCAGGCCTGCGAAACAACTCATCAGCCAAAGCATTCTGCTTGCCCGGCTTATACTTCACCTCGAAGTTGTACTCGGCAAAGAAGGAAAGCCAACGAGCCATTCTCTGAGAGAGGTGAGGCGACTGGGTCATAGTGCGTAGTGCCGCATGATCTGTATAGATCACAAACGGCTTCGAGCCAAGAAGATGAACTCTGAATTTGACGAGAGCATACTTCATTGCAAGTAGCTCTTTATCATGAACAGGATAGTTCTTTTCTGCAGCCTTCAGCTGCCGAGACTCAACCGCAATTACGCGTTCCCGTCCATCCGAATCTGTATGTAACAGAGCTCTGCCTATGGCAAAGTCAGATGCGTCACAGAAGACACTAAAAGATCGATCAGGATCAGGCAAAGCCAAGATTGGCGCATAAAGGAGAATCTCCTTTACTGTTTGAAAAGCACAATCCTCGGTGCTAGTCCAACACCATTCCACATCCTTTTTAAAGAGATTGGATAATGGCCGAATCATATCTGCGTAATTCGAACTGTATTTGTGCAAGTAATTGGCCAGGCCAATCCACTTACGTAAGTCCTTTTGGTTCTTTGGAACCGGCCCATCAACTATGACTCTTACCTTAGCGGGGTCCGCTCGAAGTCCTTGCTTATCAATGAAGCACCCTAATAGGGGAACCTCTCCTGCACCAAAGATGCACTTAGACGCGTTGGCGTACAACTTATTTGTGCGCATGCACTCGAGCACCGCTCGCAAATGGTCAATGTGATTGTCCACATCGGACCGACTGTTCATAGCACGGCTATGGATAAAGATGTCATCAAAGTATACGTCTGTGCTTAACCTCTGTGAGGTCTGAACAATTGTGTCAGAAGACGATTAAATGTAGCCGGGGCATTTAATAATCCTTGCGGCATAACAAGCCACTTCCAGAGCATACCGCTTGGAATGCTGACCGCTGTCAGCGGAATATCGCTTTCTTGCATGAGAAGTTGGTAATAAATATCGACTAAGTCGAGCGCACTGTACATTGTACATCCCACCATATTGTTTTAAAAAACATTTTCCCTCGGAATTGGTGTCTGAGCCGGTATGGTGGCCGCAATAAGCTTATTGTAAGCATGAACAATGCGCCACTTCCCATTGGGCTTTTTTCCCACAGAAGGTCGGTGTGGAATGGGAAGATTTGCCTTTCACGTACCATTCCTGCCGCTTGCTTTGCACGAAAGAAGTCGTCAATGACATCACACTGTTCCTTCGGTAAAGGCCACTGCCGTGTTACGCAGTAGTTAGTTCCAGGAACCATGTCAATTTCATGACGTACATCTCTATCACGAGGTAAGTCAGATAGAGAGTCGTAACACACCACGTCTTCTCATCTCTGAACCAAAGAATAGAACGGATCAAGAGAATACTTTAGGATAGAGGAACAGCTGTGCTCACTAAGTGTCAATTTCTTGTCCTCAAGATTGGACTTGTCTAATAACAAGGTTAAGTTCAAGTCAATATCCGGTCGAATGACCACCAACTCGGATAATTCTCCTGCCTGTAAGGCTTGGCTAAATTCGCCGTCAGACATTTCGTCGAGTTCAAAGAGAGTATCCAAAGACGGAAGAGTCTCAAGACTAATGTTGCCATCAACATGGCCAGTCAACCCATTGACAAGTGTATATATAGTATTATTACTATTATCACTTCGTGACTTCTTAGACGTTGGGCGCTTATCAGTTGCCACCCTACACTTAGATTGTTTCATCAAAGAAACCTTACGCGTCCCCGAGGTCGAGACAGTAGGGTTTCCGTGGTTGCTTTTCATCTTAGCACGCTGTATACGGGAGCTCATGTCTTGAGCGACATCTGGTGGTGTTACGTAAATCGAACACTCCACCCAGTGGATTTACACGTAACACTTCACGTACAGTATCAGGGCCTAGCCCTGAACACTCTGGCTTCTCGCCATCAATGTCATTACCGACATTCAGTCAGGTGCCATCTCGGCCGCCCTCACTCGAGGAAATTTCACGTGCGACCCCACTTACATCAGAGGAATTACCTTCTTCATGATTCAGCCCTGGGCCGCCCATGATTGCAGCATGCAGTGACACAGTATTACAATTAATTTTATTCAACGGAGTATTACTATCTTCACATACAGTAAAAGAGCTTCGCTTAATCTTGACTTCATTGACATTGAAGTTAATTAACGCTGACATACCAATGTCCAGCACGTTGACATCCTCTGTCAACGGGTCGCGACTATAGTGCTTCTGTTGCCTAGCGAATGTGGGTTCATGACTCTATAAAGCTTCGCTGGGATCATTGCGCGTTGCGCCTAAGGTCTAGGGCCTCCAATTGATCCATAGCTCATGACATTCAAGCCAATACATACCTAGGATTAGATCGTATCTCGAATCCAAATCGGAAACAAGAGAGCGTTCAATGTTGTCAAAATCCAAAAATTTTACACCTAAGTTCAACGGAACTTTAGGCACCGTGACGCGAAAACTAGTCGCTAAACGAACGGTGATTGAATCACCCTCATGATTTGAGCGCTTCAGCGTATCGCTGACTTTCCTCAAGGGAACGACGTCGAGCATAATTGCATGATGCTCCGGAGTCGATTAGTATCGACCAATGCTTCTCAAAGCCTTTTACGCTCGCCTCAGCGACTAACAAGCCAGGCTTGTATCCACGCTCTCTTCTGGCGGGCACAGAGCTCTGTGGGGCTAAGCCCTGTGTCGCTCTACCTCGTAGAGAAGCAACAGAACTCAGTTCTGTTACAGTATGGCGCCTCGCGCCTACTGGGTGTCGACGTTTCCCCGTACCATACCACGTTTCTGATTGTGGCTGGGTTTCGACCCGTAGGAGTCTATCGTTGCTTACGCAAAGGACAAGTAAGACGCAAGTGTTTAGTGCTTCCGCACATATAATAGCGTCTTACTTCCTGTCGTCGCTTTGCAACATGAAGATCCGCTTCACCTTCATCTTCAGCATGACTGAGATCCATTGGTTTTGGCTTACAGTTAGCCGAGATGATCGCAGAGGTTGACCTTGCAGAGATTGGGTTGTACCCATTCCAAACAAGTCTGGCCGATTTGAAGTTGTGCTTAGCATTTTCAGCTATGCTAACAGCTTCCTTAAAAAAAGAGGGATGGACCCGAAACACCTCGGTCCTGGTAACGCCATTCCGACGACCTTCCATGAATACAGTTACATAGACTGTTTTAGGGAGAGGGCCAGACTGCACAGCAGCCATCAGAGTTCTCAACTCTTGGACATAGTATGTTAAGTAATTCTTACCCTGACGGGTAGACCAGAAGCGTGAGCAACACGATAAGCCTGGTTAGGTGGCGAGAAAACTCGCAAAAGGTCTAACTTGAGCAAATCCTATGTGGGAAACGCCAAGCGACCGACGTGCCACACGTCAGAGCCCAATCTCTAGCTCTTCCATCAAGCTTTGAGATAGCCATCGAGACCCGCTAATATTCCAGTAAGATAAGTCCAGAGGTCATGGTCATCTCAATCTCAAGGATCCAGAGGGTCAGGTTATCTCTTCCCGACCCGGAGTAATGTTTAACGTCCACCCGAAGGGAACGAGACTTAGCCTCTTCTGGTGGCGTTGCCACGTAGCGTATTGGCATAGCCGACGCTACTTGGTTAAGAAATATTCCCGAACAGGGCCGTTATATACTGCATGAAGGTCTCGACTCATGCATTGAGCACATCGGGACCTTGTGCAGCATTAAACGCCACATAGTTAAGGCCAACGGCCGCGGTCAGCTTATTAAGCGCAAATTAATGGGCCTCAGAGAGGGTGTGTGAGATGCTCCATCCTCACAGAGGATCAGTCGTTACCGAATTAGGCGTAGATTGACTAAGAGTGCTACCAAGTGTAGCGGAGCTACGCAGCTTCTTAAGTCAGACGAAGACTTAACGCTCTACGATAATCTTTTGTTCTACGAAACCGACTCAGAGAGTCAACAAGCTTAGAGAGCTAACGGTCCCTGTTCCAGGGGGACCAAAAGATTCAAGAGAATTACAGCACAGAGTGCTCAAGAGCAGCTACCTTTACAGGTGTTGCTAGCTCTTCCGATCAAGAAGCCTCGTAAGGCACGTGTCTTTTGTTGATCAAAATAATAACTGAATCTTGATTCTTCTTTTAACCTATAATAATATCTTAGAACAAAGTAATTAACCTACTCGCTAATGTCCTAAATAAATCTATTAAAAGATCTCGTAATCAATAAATGACAGATATCAGTCTTCAACGAATGATACTGTGTTTCTATATATATTAAAAGGGAGCCCCATATCTTGTGCGCACCACACCGATTGTCGACTACCAGACGACGTGAAAAATTAATACAGTTCATGTCCAGTTTCTTCGGTTGTCTATTATGCAAGCCAATAATTCCAAGTGTGCTTCTTTCTCGGTAAAGACAGATACACATGGTCACTTACGTGACGATCAAGTGGGATTTATGCTAGAAGGTGACATCATTACGTCGCTAAAGATTTCGGAAGGCTCCAAGTTCCTTGTGATGGGTGACGGCTTTAATCATGCCAAGCACCGTGGCTTGATGGGACCTGTTTTGAAAGACATGAGGCGCATGATGGCAGCGATTTTGAGTTCATCACTGGATCCTTGGAAAAAGACGAAGGCCATCAAGACTTATGTTTACCCCAAAGTCGACTATCTGTTGCGACACGTACGAGCCTACAAGACCCAGCTGGACAGTGTGGACTCAGCCTTGGCACGTGGTTTACGCCATCTTCTGAAGCTCAACCAGTCCAGCACGACTGATACGTTTCACGCTCCGGTTGCCGCCGGTGGTTTGGGTTTCATCCAACTCGTCGAACTTCGGGCTGTGCTCCAGATAAGCCATGCCTGGCAGATGCTGCACTCCTCCGATGTGCCTATTTGTGAGATTGCTCAAGAGCAAGTGTGGCAGGCAATCCAGAAGCGATTCATCATGGACCCGGACCATTGGCGTGGACGTATACCTACGGCTATACAACTTTTCCTGAATGGCGATCTCGATTCTTCACCATTTGCCCGCCAGAAGCGCAAGTCGGGGGATATTGGTTCGTTGTGGGTGGACTTCAAGAACCATCTGGCTGCCTGTAAATTGAAGCTGACGACCAAACCGATAAAGACGGAAGATCGGACAGAGACGGAAGATGGGACCGAGACGGAAATTATGTTACAGCTCAAGTTGCCACATCGCTTGCAGCCACTACAACATAACGACATCACCCGCCAGCTTCGCAGCCATTCAAATTAATGGCGAGTGAGCGATGGAAAGGATTGAGGGCTCCGCGAACAGTTTGCGGGCTATTGGTGGAGCTGAAAGTTGTTTTTCTTTTTCATAGTGTTGGAATGAGCGATGCGGAATTCCGTTTTGCTTTACAGGCTCGAGTTGATGTGGTGCCTACTTGCTCAGTTCTTCGACGGTGGAATGAGCGTGGTGGTGCGTCTTTTTGTCGCCCATGAAGCCATCACGATAAAACTCTCCGGAATGTTATTCAACACTGGCCGGGCAATTCCCGTGCCATTGATGGTCGCCACGACCGTGTGTTGGCGATGATTAAAGAAAAGGTGGGTCGCATTATTTCCAAGACCTCCGGCCGTTTGAAGGCTCGTTTCGACACATATGTGGAGGGTCTACCGGGGAGTCAATTGTGGCCCGATATCCAGATTTTTGACGCGGCCTCCAAGACGGCTCACATTTGTGACCTATCCATTCCGTTTGAAGCTCAGAAGACGGACGAACCCGCTGAAGGTAACATGTGCATTCGCCATGCTGAGAAATTGATAAAGTACCAGCGTGCAAAGATGTTTCGGGAGGACGATGGGATGGCGAGCGCAAATTTTGGATTTGGATTAAGGTTTATTGTAACGGAGCAGCCCGTTACATGGAAATTGTCATTTGAGAGATAATGACAATAAAGAATATTATGTTGGATATTCTTTGAACAATATCACCAATAGTGGTGATATGGATGGGTCGACCAAAGCGTCTGCTCATTAGTTGATATCTTGACGATATCAACCCATCAATCGCCTCAAGACGCGCGCAATGAGTGGTGACGAGACGTCGTCATACATCCAGTTAGATTAGTATAATTAAGTTAAGTCATATAGAGAGACAGTAGTTAAAAGACTTAATTATATTAATACAACAGTTCTACTTTTCTCTAAGACAGTGTTGCCTCTGTCTTACCTACCGCTTCCTCGGTTGCCTCGTGTACGCTTGTCGGGGCACCCAAACCCTTGCGTTAAGTTCACGCAAGTGTGTGCCCCGATACACCTGGTAGCACTTTGTAGTCATTCCAGCGACCACCTCCACGTCATCCACCATGAACATGTTGGATGATGAAGAGACCTTTCACGCCACGCGTGAAGGGTTTAATTATTTGAGTGACTTGGAATGGGGTGCGGTAGAACGAATGAGTTCTACCGTAGGCGAGTTTGCCATTAGCGCCATCTTGGAGTCTCTAGACAGATACCAACAACATGCCGTTATAGCCAAGTTCATATAAAGTGAACTTGTCGCCGAAAGGGAGAAGGTAGCCTTGCTTCACCCGCAATGCTCTCAACAGGCCGAGCATTTGAGAGAACTCGGTGCTCAACAGACAGAGCTGTTGAGACAGCAGCAATTCCATGCTGCTGTGGGCGGGACGGCACATGCGCGTCGTCCCGAAGTCATGAAGGTTGACATCTCCAAGTACAGTGGAGTCCCGAAAGACTCCCTGTTACTGTGGTTTGTCGAACTCGACAGATCCTTAAGGGCTCGTCGCGTCGAAGATGAGCAAATGAAACTCACATTTGCTCAGAACCACTTGGCAGGGCGTGCCAAAACTTGGTCCCTGGGACTCGAGAGTAGCGACCCAAATGTGTTTAGGTCGCTAGATGACTTAAAGTCCCAGCTCAGACAAACGTTTGAGCCGCCACGCGCTGAGTTCAGAGATCGTTCAGAGTTACTGAAACTCAAGCAGGGTAAGCGTAATTTTCACGCTTACGCCCAATATATACGACTCCTAGCGAGTAGTATAACTGCTAACCCAGTTTATGAACACACGTTGATTACGGTGTTCGTGCAAGGTCTCGCAGAAGGGCCCGTCAGGAGCCACCTATTCCGCCTTGAGCTGAATACGCTAGACGATGCGATATCAGCCGCGGAACAGGAAGAATTTAGCATGAGACAGGCTCATGCTAGCTCAAACTCTTATCGTCCACCGAGACGACAAAAGATCGGAGGTCCAGAACCAGTGGACCTCTGCTATCTTGATAGCAAGAGACCTCGCTCTTCAAACAACAAGCGATTGCTGAAGTGCAATCGCTGTCAGAAGTTAGGGCACTACGCATATGAGTGTAGTGCTCCACGCCCAGTACCAAGCAGTACTGAGCGAAATGGACGACCTGTTGCCAGAAAGGGCAATGGGCGTGGGTCCAGCGCTGTTGCGAAGCGACAACATCGACGCGGACCAAAAAAATGGTCGGGGTCAGTAGGGGCGGAGCGCCCTACTGATCCAGCAACCTCAAGAGAATTCTCAAATCTCTTGACGAAAGTTGCTCCAGATACGCAATCGTTGTGTGTCTCTGCACCTGGTGATGACGTTTCTCTCATCACCTTGAAGTTGGAAGCGACAAATGATTTGTCGCTTCGTGCCCTAGTAGACTGTGGGGAGTCGAACAATTTTGTTCGTCGCCAGTCACTAGAGGGTCGTAGGCTCAAGTTCGTTGAGCGCGACATTCCCCTCACGAGGATGACGGTGCGTCTTGCAACAGGCGCATCGTTTACCGTTGAGAAACGTGTAGTAGGAATCCACTACACGTTGGAGGGCGAACAGTACGATGATGACTTCATCGTACTGGATCTGGATGACAAATTCGATGTCATCCTGGGATTACCTTGGCTCAGAAGGAACGGCCAAGGATGAGCTGGCAGCATCGATCCATGAAGATGCCTGCCACTTGTTCATCAGAAGGCCATCTAATGAACATCTTGGATCGTCCACAAGCGTGTGGATGTACTGCGAGTGAGTGCGATGTCCTCACTTGCAGTACGTTCGTTAGCACGACTGCACAAGATCACAGTGTAGTTGATCACTACACTGTGGATCAAGCTCCCGGCGGCTGTACAGAAGTACAGGCGGCGCCGAAGGTCAACCACTTGAATAAGTCGAGTGGACCGGGACATGGATGCATGCCTAGCGGGAAGCATCTTGGACAAAAGAAACCTGTTGCCTTCAAAGGGCAACATGGAAATCCTAGGTCGACTAGAGAGTCGACCGTAGAGGATCGGTGCCTGACTGTGGTTGCACAGCCACAGTCAGAAGACGTCGAGGGAATAAGTCCCCACGTACTTGAGGAAGGAATTCCTCAAGAGTCACTTGTTGAGGGAATAGGACCTCAGCAATCTGTGGAAGGAAGTTACCAGGAAGAAACCGAGACGTTGAACGTCTTTGGCTAATGACGGATCAAGTGTAGGCGCCTATACACTTGATCTGATTGTGCCTCCGAAGTTAACTTCGGAGATAAATCAGTTGCCAACGCTAGAACCGAAACGGTTCTTGCGTGATCTGCGTAGTGGCAAAGTCAAGCAGATCTGTGTACCCGTCACAGAGGATGAGTATGTGTCCGATATTCGGTCGGCGACAGTATTTGATGAGAACGAGCGGGTTCTCAGCAGCTCATCGATGGATGAAAGTGTCCTCGATGAGAAGACTCGGATTGAGCGATACACGTCTCAATCCTGGGAGTCACTTAAGGCAAATCCTTTGTATAAGGATTTGATAGATATCAAGGACGTATTCCCAGAATCCGTACCTTGCGAGTTGCCTAAGGACAAAGGCACTCGACACGAGATCGAGCTCAAACCGGGCTCGAAGTACTGTGTCATGAAGCAGTGGCCACTGCCTCGTGAACAAGTACTAGCGATCGACAAGTCCTTTGCCGATCGCTTAACAGCGGGCCATGTGAGGGAATCAATATCCCCTCACAGCTCTCCGACCTTCTGTGTACGAAAGTCCACAGGAGGATGGCGGATAGTGCACGCGTTCAACAAGTTGAACGCTGCAACGGTACCGTCTCAGACGCCGATACCGGGGAAGGACGTAATCATAGATGGTATGTCAAAGAGTACCATCTTTTCGTCCATGGATCTGATGGATAGATTCTATCAGATCCTGATGCGTGAACTGGACGTCCCGTTCACGGCAGTGAGTACCCCCAGCGGGATGCTGTGGGAGTGGCTAGTGATGCCACAGGGGCTGAGTAATGCCCTGCTACTTTTAACAGATGTGTTGCAAATATGTTGAGACCGGTACGAGACTTTGCACCGAGTTACTTCGACGATGTGTTCGTCCATAGCCGGGCTATGGACGGAAAGACGGACGTTGAAGTTCACAGAAATCGCGTTTGTCAAGTCCTTCAACTTATGCGCAAGAATAAGTTGTACGCAAACCTCAAGAAGTGTATATTCGCGGCTAGCGAAATACCACTTCTTGGATGCATCGTGGGTAAACACGGCGTACACCCTGATCCCGAAAAGACCAAGGCAATCACCGACTGGCCAGTGCCAGTCGATGTCAAGGAACTAAGGAAGTTCCTTGAGCTAGCGGCGTACTTGCACAAGTACTCGCGCAACTACGCCGAGATGACTGTTCATCTTTCTTGCTTGCTCAAGAAAAATGTCAAGTAGTCATGGAACAATGAGTGTCAGCTTTCCTTTGAAGGTATCAAGCAAAATTCGATGCAGTCGCCGATCTTGGCGATTGCAAAACAGGACAGACCATTTCATGTGGTCTGTGATGCCAGCGATTTTGAGATCGGCTGTGCGTAAATGCAATTTGATGCGGATGGCGCAGAGCGCGTCATTTGTTATCAGTCGCGTCAGCTGCAGGCAGCTGAGCGCAATTAATCAGTGCATGATAAGGAATTCCTTGCCATGAAATATGCACTGGCTAAGTTTCGCGTCTATCTCTTGGGAGATAGACCGTTTGTTGTCTATACGGACCATGCGTCATTACGCACGGCCGTAAACAGCCCACACCTCTCGCAAAGAATGGCGAGGTGGCTGTCTTTCTTCGCGGAGTATAAATTCTCCGTGGAGTATAAACCAGGACGACTAAACGTCGTCGCTGATGCACTCCTCGCGCCGGCCCGATTTCGAGCCGGTCGCACAATTCAACAGTGAGGATAAGCCCACTGTTCCGACACTGTCAGTCAGTGTTCCGTCGTCAATCTTACTTGACGACGTACGAAAGGCATTCGCGGAAG